TTCCATTCCTGGTCCTTGTACTCCCCGAGACTTAGGCTAGTGGTGTGGGGCAAGTCGACGAACAAGTTACGCAAATCTGACATCCCCTTCCGGATTGTACTAGGTAAATAAGACATAGTACAGGGAAGGGATATTCACACAGTCTCGATCGATCACTTGGTCTCGTTTCACACAGCACTGCTGTTTGACCCAGGCAAACAAGAAACCACCTTTACATGACAGTAAAGGGCGCGGGGACGTCCCTTCCTCAGCACACCCAAGCACTGCAGAAGCTACCACACTGTATTTTTGTGGAGCCTCTCAGTTGAAGAGACCCGGGATCGAGAGTGCCTGTTGCAAAATTGCCTACCTGAACTATAAGAGATGGAAGACGTCGGGGAGCTCGGGGGTGCCAGTCGCGTGTACGAGGCCCAGTTGGAGCGCACTATTCAAGAGCTTAATCGAAGAAAAGGAGAGCTAGAGGATGCACTGCAGCAGGTAAATTTCATGGCCCTGTCGTCTCAGAATAGCTTTGCTAAATCCATCAATAGCTGAGGGCATCTGCAGCCAGCCCCGGCGCGGCATTTTCGGCAGAAGACTCCTTGGATATCATGACAAAGGCGTACCAGGACGTAACTGAGGCAGAGCCCATCCTGCCACCGCTAGGATCTCCCCTCCCAGCGCTGCTGGCCATGCGGCGGGCCCATCAGACCATCGCAGAAACCAACGAGTACGCCGATTCTCAAGCGGCTTCACTGGAGCAGCTGAAACGAAGGATAGAGGCAGAACAAACCAGCTTGCGTGAGCAACAGGCCCTCCAAACCGCGCTTGAAGGTCGCATCGAGTCGTTGCGCCAAGGCCTGGAGAACAGAGAGGAAAAAACGGAGGAACAAATCGCCAAAGAACGTATCGCCGAATTGAAAAAACAAAAGGATCTCTGGGACAAGCAGACATCGAGTCTCATGAAACAGTTGGACTGGTTCATTGATGAGCATCTCGGCCCCATGTTGGCAGCGGAGGAGCTAGGCGGCCCCGTCGTCGGGGGTTTGATGGACATCGACCCAGATGATCTGAGCGCCGGGTTTAGTGCTCATGGCAAATTGAAAAAGGGCAAAGACCAACCGGACCAAGACAAGCGGCAACGACGGATCGATGATATCTGGGGCCCGCAGGACGAGCAGGGACAGGCGAGGAGAAAGCAAAAGGGGAACGAAGCAGCAGCGGCAAGCGCAGAGATGCGTGATCTCACCGAGCAACTAATGAATAGGCTGATGGAAGCAGACGGCGATACCTCAGCAGCGTACGTGGAGATAGCCAGGGAATCTGCAGCAGCGAGGTTCCTGGTCCGTTCCAAGGTGGCAATGTTCCATCCGAGGGATGCACGAAAGTTGCGACTCGTCGACTTTGGAAAGGATCTGGAGGACTAAGGCCTCAAGAGGAAGGAGATATCGGACGGCCATATAATAGGGATATTCCGTTGTGGCATGTTACGGACAATCAAACGGCACCTGACGATCCCCCTAGCATGGGGAAGTTAACTATGGAGTCTTTGGGGAGAGTGTTCGACAAGTGGATGGCTCTTCGCCGAAATCGTGGGTCTAAGATGGCTACCAAACAAAGTACATTTGCGTGACGGAACGAAGAGGCCGAAGCATATAAAGCAAAGTCTCGGACTTGACGAACTCGAGGAGAGAACAAAGGTCCCCCGCAGTAGTCAGGGGCAGCATTCGCAATTGGCTAATGTGGTGTTGATTCGATCCAGGCCCGCCCCACGAGCGGCTGAGGGCTGCTTGGCGTGACTGGCCGGTTCGCTGGGCCAGGTGGGGTTTTGGATGCCCTGCATCCAATTTACGCGTCGCGTCTGGCGCGTCTTCCCGCACACATTTCTCCCCACCCCCACCTTAGGTCGGTCGTTTCTGCCCAACAGCAACCGGAACTTGGCCTTTTTTGACAGGAGCAACGACTTCAATCCCACAACCATGACCACTAGCACTCCCAACGAGCCCGCCGTCCCAACCTCTCCGCCAGCAAAGCGCCTTAAGACGGACACCTCCGCCCCCACAACCAGCGAAACCATGGCGTCCCCAGCGTTGCTCATCAAGAAGCTTTCCGACAAGGCCCGGCTCCCGACCCGCGGCAGCGCTTTCGCAGCGGGCTACGACCTGTTCGCCGCACGCCCCACCACCATCCCGGCGCGGGGCAAGGCGCTCGTCGACACCGACATTAGCATGTCTCTTCCGGCGGGGACCTGTAAGTAGCATCCAGCATCCAGCATCCAGTCCCAACCCCGAACACCGTCCCCCCTCCCCCGACCGGCCGGTAAGCCAACCACACAGACCACGCACTAACAAGCGACCAACCAAAACACAACAGACGGCCGCATCGCGCCACGCTCAGGCCTCGCCGCCAAGCACTTCATCGACACGGGCGCGGGGGTCATCGACGCCGACTACCGCGGCCCCGTCAAGGTGCTGCTGTTCAACCACGCCGACGCCGACTACGCGGTGCAGGAGGGCGACCGGGTCGCGCAGCTCATCATCGAGCGCATCTACACGCCCGAGGTGCTCGAGGTGCAGGAGCTGGAGGAGAGCGTGCGGGGCGCGGGCGGGTTCGGGAGCACGGGGACGAACTAGGTTGGGCTGTGGGTGTGTGATTGTGTTACGGTTCTGGTATGGCATGGTATGGCATGGCATGGGTCGGATAGGTGGTCGGGATGGGGTTCAGATGGCTTGACTCTCAAGAGAGTACTGGCATTTTGCGGTGTGATGAATAAACACTGACAGATTAAATGAGGGGTCGCAATGATCCAAAGATGGACGACCCCCAGAAACTCCACGGTCTATGGCTCTCTATATAAGGCTTGCCCCCTCATGTACTCCATCTAACACATTCCCCGCAACACCACCACTTTCCCTCACAACCTCGTCGCGCGGAACTCCACCTTGGGAAACCTCAAGCTATCAAGGTGCCTCACCAGCCTCAGCTCAGCAGCCTTGCTCTTCAACAAATGCATCCTCTTCTTCTCCGCTTCCGCCCCCGCCCCTTCACCGTCCACCACCACCCCCCTTTCCACCCCCGCCTCCGCGCGAGCCTTTTCCACCACCTCCTCCATCCGCTCCGCCGTCTTGGCCAACACCTCGTGCATACTAGCAAGCACCTTCTCCGCGGCCCTGGCGAGCGGCAGGTCCAGCGCATCAACCTCATCATCACTCAACCACGACGCTCTGCCCATCAATCCTTGCCCCTGTACCTCCCCATTGTGCACGGCCTCGCGCATGCGCACGACCATCAGCGCGGCAAACATATCCCCCGTACCACTAAAGTAGCAGTCGATGGCGGGGAAGACTATCTTGAAGGCGCGGGCGCGGCGGCCGGTGGTGGTCATGGATGAGCCGACGACCGACAGCGACGAGACGGGGTGGTCCGGGTGCGGCAGCGACACCGACGTGATGACGATGTGCGGGATGCCGTACCGCTCGTGCATCACCTGCAGCGCCCGCCCGATCGACGCCATGTCTGTTATGGGGACGTCCGAGAGGAGTCTGCGTGGCGGTGGTGAGTGGTGGTGTTAGGGGTTGGTGGGTCTTGCTTGGGGGGGGGGGAAGGGGTGGGTGTGGGGGGGGAGACGTACTCGGCTTCGAACTGGTTGGGGAGGACTAGGTCTGCGTGGTGGAGGAGGCTCTTATACACGGGCACCACGATCCGAGCGCCACGTAGAGGTTGCCATTGTCGCCCATGACGGGGTCCAGCACCCAGAAGAAACTCCCCGGCTTAGACTCTGCTTTGCGCTTGAGCTCCTGCGCTATTTGCCCGACTGCTTCGAGCGCCGGGGCGCCGGGTACATAACCGGACAGCATCATGTCGAAGTCGTCGAGGTAGGACTGCTTCAGGCCCTGGTATAGGTCCGTGATTTCTTGCGCCGAAACTCGTGACCCCGTCCATTGTCGGTATCCGGTATGGTTACCTGTGCGCGTTGAGTCAGAATCAAGCGTCGGAGAGAGGCCTGTGACTGTGGGGAAACGTACTGAATTGCACGGTATTCAGCGCTGCTACGTCACAGCCAAGCGACTGCAAACTGAAGACGGCAATCTTATTGCCGACATATCTTGGGGTTTTTGTCAGCATGGTGTGTACGGGGTAATGGGATAGATGGACTGCTCGACCGGACTCACCCAGAGACGACCTTAAAAACCCAATTAGCACGAATAATAGCAGACAAGGTCAACCAGTGCGCCCTACATGACTGGCGACCGCCAATACGCGAGTTTCTGGGACCAGAGACCCTTCACCCATGCTTGTGGTTTGGATGGTTGGTGAGAGGCTATATCGATGTTGGGCGGCCGGTGACGGGAGTACGTTGCGAGAAAAGCCGATTATAGCCACGACGGCACGAAGGACTCGGTTTATAGGATATCTTGAAGAAAAGAGACAGGAACGGACAGCTAAGTTTGAAGAAGGGAAGGGAAAGGAGCCTGGAGTCACTCTTTGCGGAAGTTCCGGGGAGGGTGACAGTTGACGAATGACTCCAAGAAATCCACTTGCGAGTTCGCCCGAACTTTTTCTCCGAGTCCAGGTACTTGGACTTCGTATGACTGGGAAACACCAGTCAGCCAGGATCGTAGGGTCTGTAAGAAGTGACAGGGAGTGATTGAGGGGGATGGGCGCATGGGAGGGTCCAGAAAACCGGGCCGTGGTTGGTTACGCCTGTTGGTTGTTGTCACAAATTTACCCCGCCAACTTTTCGAAGCAAGGCGAGGTCGGCCCCGCGGTCGCACTAAAATTTCATGTCAGCCTTCTGGATAGGAAGCCGGAGCGATGCTTCTTTTTGCACTTGGACACAAGGGGAAGATGTAAGTCGGCTCGACAGCGTAGATTTATATTCTGTAATGGGGTGCAAGTAAATTCATCCCCATCAGCGTCCAGATCGCCTTCATGTTAGGTACCCTGGCCCTCTGGCCACACAACCTCCAGCAATGCGTCTACTTTTGCCAAAACATCCTTCTGGTGCAATTACAGGTAGGTAGGTATCCACGCCGAGTCAAGCTTACGTGACCATCGTCTCAATCCTTAAGTCATCATTAGGGCCGTGTGGCCCTCTCTACTCCTCGTCGCCAATCTATTTAAAAACATGGTTAGCTTCTTATTATTGGATCAAAACGTATTAGAACGTAGAATCACATACCTTCGGCGCAAGGTAGAAACGCAGGTAACTGCTTCCCGCGAGGGTGTATTCAACCAACAAGGGCACCTCGTTGGACAGGCAGATCTTGACCTGGGTGGAGAGCGCCGAGGCCTTGCAGAAGTTGACGAGGTACTTGAGGGAGAAAGTAAGCGAGACGGGCTCGCTGAGCTCGATCTCGATTGACTCGTTCGGCTTCTCCACACTGGAATGTTGCCGCAGGGTGACGGCTCCGTTGCCGATGTCGCCCTGGCACGAGAACTTGACGCCGTCCTTGCTCGCATCGATGGTGACTATACGGGATCTGTCAGAAGCTGCCTCCTCCTTGGAATATCTTGGGCTTGCATACCGGATTCGGACATGGCCATCAGATCTGTGGTGATGCGCTTGAACTCGGAGGCCGGCATCGCAATGGTGGCCGCGTACTCGGTGTCCGGAATGCCCAGATGCTCCTGGTCAATGTCCATGAGCTTGAGGTCGTACTCGGAGATCCTGTCGGTCTCGGAGCTCTCGAACACAAGGTTGAGGACGTCGGGCGCATCCTCCGCCTTGAGGGTGAGGATGTCCTCGTTCTGGGCCGCCCGCAGCACCTTGGTGAGGGAAGTGAGGTTGATCCCTAGCGCAATGTTGCGGTCGCAGCGGAATGGCGAGAATCCCTCGGCCTTGAGCATCATAGACACAAGCGCGACGTGGCTGTTGTCCATGGCCTGCAGAGCGATGCCGCTGTCATTGCAGTCGAAGTTGCAGTCTTGCACCAGGTCCTTGATCGCGTCGACAACCTGCAGATAACGTTTGTTAGAGCGCCCGAAACAGCAAAATTAAGCTTCACCAATGCGAGATAAGCATACCTTCTTCAGGATGCTCGCCTGTTCCAACCGTGCTTCCAACATGGCTGCGTTTGTCAGTTTCCGAATCTTGGCAGCGCAGCCCAACAGGTGAAGGCGGTGACGGAGGAGAAGTTCTCACTGAATGTATGTGGTGGGTATTATGGGAGAATTTGGGGTTGTGGGATTCTCGTTGGAGTTTAAGCGGGTGACGGTTGTCAAGAACGGGCGGTTTGCGGCGGTTTGGGTTTGCGGTCGTTGGGTTTGTGTGAAGTTCCAGGCGGGAGGAAAGATGGAACAGGCACGCGAACGCGCTTTAGCAGTTGAAAAGACGCGCCTGGGCATTAGATTGATTACCCCTCCTGGTTAGCTCCGCCAGCTCCAGCTTGGCACCTGGCATGGGCCGGTTGGTTGCCTGTCGTGCCTGTTGACCCCTGAGCCGGGGATTCAGGGGCAGGCCATTTTCAAACAACACCCGGACATGCTTGATCAAACGTCTCTTCTGGCACAATCACTGTATTGTGACGTATGTCGCTAATTTCTAATTACAAGCCAATGCAGGATTAGCATATTGAAGATGCATGCACGCAGCAGTCCCACCCGATGAACGCCAGTCCCAATGATCCAGTCAAGCAAGCTCCAGAAGCTATGATGCTGGATGCTCAAAGCCAACCCAATTGAAAAACAACCCGCCGTCTATACAAGCAAGCCACCATGAGATAGGCGGACAGGGAAACATGATGCAAAATGACAAAAGAGAGTTAGGGTCCGTGTTGGTTAGGTTACTTGGTTGTCGTCACTGTCATAATGAGATGCGAGAAGGCGCCGGCATGGTCGCCCGCTTTGGCCGCAGGTTGATGACGGTCTCGAGCTCGCGGAGCATTCCGCGGGTCGCGTCGGCCCTTTCCCTGGCAGCTTCTCTTTTCTCTCGCTCTTCCTTCATCTTGGCTATCCGCTCATCCCTGCTCAGGAGACTGCGCGTCCGGGTCGGTAAGGCGACCGCTTCGAACACTTCCACCACGTCCGAATCCCCGTTTGGACTTCCAAAAGTCGAACCCGGCGGTGATTCCCCGGTTAAAGCCTTGAATGCCTCGAGTGTCCCACCCTCCTCGACCGTGGTAAGCCCGCTTAATGAGGTCGCCGGAGAAAGTAGCGTGCTGAGGGAGGACAGTCGTTTCTCGTTGCGGTCAATCCCTGAGGCAAGGGCGGCTTTCCCTTCTTCCCATGCCTGCGTAAGCATTTTGAGGTCTTGCCCGATGGACTCGTACTGAGCCATCAGATTGTTCCCCAACTCCGATACATCTTCTGCCTCGTTCAGCGTCCTCTCCGACTCCTCTCGTAAAAGCGCAAGCTTTGCTTGAAGACCTCGGATGCCCATCGACAACGAATTAAGTTTCATAAATTGAGACCGGCGCTTCTCTCGGTTGGGCGATAATGGCGATTTTGAATCAGAAATAATGGGGAAAGCTAGGCGTTTAGGTCAGCACTGGCAAGCAGGCAAGAGGACAGGGACAAGGAGTGTCGCTTACTTTCTTCTTCACTAAGAATCTGGCGAACCCTCTCAAAGCCTTGAGATGTAGCTTGGTTGAGAGTCTTCAATCCCTCCACGGCCGTTGACCATCGCAAGAAGTCGGTATTATCGCCCGCCGCCTCAAAGGCGAGGAGGGAGCACAACAGAATCTTACGAATAGTGTAAAAACGGGCGGCAGCAATCTTAAGGGACTGCAGAGACTCGGGATCGTCGAATTCCTTCTCCGAAAATCCCCGCATCGCGTCCGATATGTCGAAGTCGCTGATGTCGTAGATATCGTGGTACTTCTCCAGATCTCCCTGCTCAGCGAATTCCTTGACCGCTGTACAAGCCTGCATGTGACTTTCGATCATGTCGGTGAACCGTCCCTTCAACGCCTTGCGCAGCCTGCTGCACCGGCGTATTTGTGACCGGTCCTCCATACGGCTAATTGGAGGTAGGGGTGCGCTTCTGAATATGTGTGAGCTATGTTCTGCAACGGCCATAAACGGGAGAACTTACAACCTGTAGCCTCGAGACACGAGCTCGACCTCCTGGATTAATGATATCGCCGCACTAGAAGCACTGTCAAAGTCCTGAGACCTGGCGACGAAGGTGGTCACCTCGCCCAGCGCTTGGTTTCTCAAATACCGAAGCCACTGTTGTCGGAGATAGGCTTGTGACACAACAGCAACCGCTACTAGAACCAGCGCCGTGAAGCTCACCCGCTTCTTGGTCAAGTGCGCATAGCCCCCGGAATACACCCATCTCGCTACCCAAGCAACAACAAGCGCGGCGGCGGCTGTCGCAAAAAGACCCGTTGATGTTACCACTACCGTTTGGGTGGCCTCTGGCATGTCCTTTGACCGGCTGTGGTGGGCATGGTGCATTGCTATTGAATGCCCGCTCAACAATTGGGACGCGACAATCGTGTACCGGAACTGCTCGATGAACTTGAGGTTGCCGGCGCGATCTATCCTTGAAACTACGGCTTTCTGTGGCGCAAAACAGAAGATGGTCAGTCCCAGACTATAGGGAATGACCCAATACACGAATACTGACCGAGTATGAATGGCGCAACGAGCTCAGTCGGTTCATCGGTGGGATGTTCAGTGGCAGGGGGTCCGGAAGGTTCGTCCGGAAGCGCTTCTTGACCATCGGCCGCCCTACCGGGGCGAACGACGGACTGGACGGCGGCGACTCATCGTGATTATCCGAGACGGACGGCGTGCCCCAGGCCTGCAGTTCTTCGCCCTCGTCTACAAGCAGGAAAGCGGTTAGTGACCAAAATGATGACATTTTCGAAAACAGTTGTGATGCGCGCAAGACACGAAGGAAACGGCAGGCTAACCCTTCAGATAATCGGCAAGCGGCGTGCGGTCTTGTATGACGGTCTCCATGAACAATGAACAGTGCTGCTGCTGATGCTGCTAGGTGGTCACGCGGCTACGGCACCAGTCCCCCATCTGCCCGCCTCGTGCGCACCAGAGACCGTCGTTCCGCGACCGTCCCTGTGACGGCGTTTAACAGGAGTTCGGTACGCGAGACAAGAGACCCCGGTTTGGCGCAGGCGAGACCTCGGGCGGCGGGGACGAGTGGGTGGGAATCGAGACACGGTGTGTATGTGCTAGCGTTGAAGGTGGCCGTTGTAATAGCCGCCGTGCATGTTTCTGTTTCGCGGTCGAGATGTGCGCGGCCGGACGAGGATGGAAATGGGACGATGGAGACTGGGCGTTCTGTGCTAGATTAGATAGTTTTGGTCAATTCGACTCCTGGAAGTAAGGCGAATCCACTGTAAATGACACCGCAACGCTGCGGAAAGGAGGTCGCTTAGCGTTTATTAAATGTTTGAAGCTCTTGGCCCGAGAAATCGAGGATGAACCCTGTCGCGCGACCCTCGTCATTAAAACATTGGGGGTGTCCTGCCCGTTACGGTACAAACAACGTACGAACCTGGAACAAGTTTGACGTTCCAAGGGCTTTTGCTTCTCTCACTCCCACATTGACGCCATGATCGCATTGCCATTTGTGGCACCGAGTGTTAATTTGCAAACACTCGGTTTCAAAGAGGGTCATAATGTCTCTTGTACCACGGGATCTTGAAAAGTACCGGTCACTCTTCAGGTGAATTGTGAACCCCTGAGACAGGTAATTGCGCTCGCATTAATCTGCAAGGATTGCAGCTATTCCAATTTCGGGGTAACTTGGTAACGATATCCCGAACCTTGAGGTGTACGAATACACTGTAATACGGTATCGCTGGTCATGGAGTCCCCCACATGATGTTCCAAGCCATGTGGCTTGTCGATCCCCCAGCAAGTGGAGCCGTTGCATCGGCTCCAGAGCTCGCAGTGGCCGAGCTTTGGAACAACTACAACAACTTTCAGATTGCTAAACGATACCGCGCTACCCCTCGACACAGTTCCCGAACACGAAGATACGCAATTGTACCGTACACAGACGGCATCCCGTCTAGAAACCAAGAAACCCGAAAGTGATACAACTCGGGGCACACCAAGCAACACAACCAACAATCCCGACCTCTCCCCGTCACCGCAACCCACCTTACCACAGCCATGCCTTCCGAACAAGAACTCCAAATCCAAATATCCCCTATCGTGCAAGAGTCTCTTGTGCACAACTCACGGGTTAGTTCCTCCCTCCCGCCCCCAGCCCGGCCGCCTGGTCGGTCGCCCTCTTCCTCCCCAGCCCGCAGGAAAAACAAATCTGCAACCGCGACCACCAAGCCCGACCCATTCCTCCACCGCCTACCCACCCCAAACCAAGTTCTCAACCCCACCCCCCACAAACCACGAACGAACGAACGAACCCCCTCACTAACCACACACCCCTTTATTGCTACCAGACACTCTACAACCTCCAATCCATCACAGCCTCCCTCTTCGGCGTGTCGGCGGGCATCCTGGGGCTGGAGTCGTACGCGGGCTTCGTCTTCTACGTGGCGCTGTCGCTGCTGACGTCGGTGCTGTTCTACGCGCTGCGCGTGGCGCCGACGTCGCTGGCCTCGGGCAAGGCACCCCTCGACACGAGCCGCTACTTCCGCGGCGCCTACGACTTCTGGGCGGGCGGGCTGATGAATGGGTTTGCGGGGTTCGTGCTGACGTGGACGCTGTTTTATGGGTTGGTGACGGCTTGATTTGGATGGGGAGGGGGAGATGGGGAAGGAGTTGTGGGTTGTTGTAAGAGAAGGTTGTTGGAGGGCGTCATGGCGTTGGGTTTCGGGGGGTGTGAATTACGACCACTGATGGCATTGTAATGAAGAGAGGGGACGGGCCGGACATTGTGAATAGAAGTGCAAACTAAAGACCGAACTCTTGCTGCTAATAGAGGGTGTAACATTATTATTCTCTCGGCTAGTTCTTCGCAACATGTCCACCGCTGCCCCTCTTGCCTGGCCTACGATGAGGCAACTACACCGCCAAAAATACCAACAGCCCTGACATTGAAAGGTGGTCAAAAGGAAATTCTCACCAACACACCCTTTTCAACTGAAAAGAGGGAGCCAGCCCTTGGGTTTACTTCGTGTTGGGGACGCACCCCCCATGTTTTTTGCTGCCTTTGGGCGGCTCAAACTGGCGAGCTCTCGGAGAGAGATACCAGGAGTTTTCGCCCCAGGGGTGTTGCCACCCCCATTGACTATGGAACCATTCTGGGGGTGAACGATGATATCGGGCACGTCGGAACTCGTATATCAAGGGTTCGCAAAACAATTGAATTCTATGAGGGGAAAAATAACACTAACAAACACGCAGAAAAGCAACAGCACTCGTTTTACTCCACAATCTCAACAACCTTCCCAACAAACCCCTCCAACCCAGACCTGTCCTGTCTCCCACCCTCCAGCACCAAGATCTGCGAACCCAGCTCAATCCATTCCCTCGTAGACAACAACTCCAACTGCACTTCAACACCCCCATCCACCGCCGCCGCCGCCGCCGCGTCCAGCGCCAGGGCACTCTCAACCTCCATATCCTCCGCAAGCCCAAACAGCCCATCTTCAATCTCGTCCTTCGCCACCTTCCCAGTGCGACCCCCACCACCACCATTCCGCGACTCCACCCTCGACACGCGCACCACCCGCGCAGCAGACCGCACACTCGCCACATAGACATTAACCAATGCGCCCACCGACAGCGCGCCAACCCCGCTATTATCCGCATCAAACAGCGCCGTCAGCCCACTAACAGCTTGCAACGACAACCCGGACGCGACCATATGCTGACTAGGCACGGCCAGGACCATGCCCTTACGCAGCCTAGGCGTTTCGGCGGTGGTGCCACCGGCGTCCTCGTGGCTAGTCGGTGATGTGGTGGTCTGCGCCGACGATGGCAGCGGCGGGTGGTGGTGGTCAAAGACCATGCCGATGGAGCCAACCTGGCCGGCGGCGAGGGTCTGGACGGGCAGGCGCAGGTTGCGGATGCTGACGATGGTGGCGGTGTGCCACTCGCCGCTGGTGGCCGAGGCGGAGACGGCGTTGCGTGAGGCGGTGCGGCTGAGGTCGCCGGAGGAGGGGTGCGACGGGGAGAGGTGGGAAGGGGAGAGGCCGTAGCTGTGCGGGAGGGCGATGCCGCGCCCTTCGGGGGTCGCGCCGTGCGAGTCGTCGTCGTCCGGCGGGAAAGGGCCGACCACGATCTTGTCGCCGATGGAGAGGCTGCCGAAGCGGAGGTATCCGGCCACTACGGTGCCGAGGTCGGTTTGTTGGTTTGCGTCGCTGGTTGCGAGGGCGTAAGACGCGGGGAGGCTGAACTTGTCTTCGATGTGGAATAGGCAAGCTGGCTGCTCGGGGTTCAGGGCGGCACCGATATAATCGAAGGAGGTCGGTGTTTGAGGCCGCGGTAAGCCCTGAAGTAGAGCATGCAGTGCGCCGATTCCCCGCCCATCGACGGCGCTGGTCAGGAGTATGGGGACGATGGAAGACGGGTCGTTTCTCGCCTTCATACTGTCTAGCGCGTCCTTGACGGCGGCTTTGTCGAGCTCGGCCACGCGCGTTGGCTCAGAGTCGCCTGCTGAACCCCCTTTAACCATCTTAGGTACACGACCAACACGCTTCAGACTTGAGAGGATTTTGCTAAGGGTCGTAGATAGGCTTGACTTGTTGGCTAGGTCTAGCTTGGTGATGACCATCACCAGGGGAAGGCCGAGTCGTAAACAAAGATCTAGATGGGCGGACGCGAGGTCAACACCCGCACCGGTAGGTCCTAGTACATCTAGGGAAGTGGATGTGGCCCCAGCGGCTGAAGTAAGTTCAGCGCTGTCGGCCGCGATGCAGAGGAGAGTCCAGTGGGGTGCCCAACCGACGATGCCTCGGAGAATGGTCCGTCGGTAACGCGGGTGGCCTGCGGAATCGAGTAGGTAAAGCAGCCGGCCATCCTTGGTGAAATCGTGGATATCGATCCAGGACTCAACCCCACTGTGAGCGTAGTTGATGATGTCGCCATCGTTGTAGCCCACGAGTTCCTGCGTGACGGAGGACGTTATGCCAGACGCCACCTCATGGAGATGTTTGAGAAGACCAAGCCGACCTTTTCCGCGGCCGTTATCTAAAATTCCGCTCGAGAGAGTCCCCAAAAGAGTAGACTTCCCCGAGGTCGTCGGCCCTGTAAGCGTAACACGCAATTGATCTGTGGTGAGCGGCCCTTGTTTTGGGTCTGGTAAGGCCTCGGCCTGCCGCGCCGCATCCGGCGATCTCGCGGAGGGCGACTGGTCATCTCTGGGCCGCAGATCTGGCGTGACCAGAGCTTCGGCAACCCACAATTTCGCCTGGTGCGGCACGCCCTCGGATTCCGAGCCTGAAGAACCTTCGGTGCCGCTTGGCTCAACCCACTCGCATTCTCCGACGACCAACATCCGGAGCACGTCCACATTGCAACCCAAACTGGCGGCCATGATACGGAGGGTGGTGAGACTCTCGTGCATCTCATTTTCCGTCAACCCCGCGAGGGTTCCATCGTCCGCCACACCGATCTCGTACAGCGCTCCTCTTGATGCCTCCAACCCCGGCAGGACCTTGCCCACCTTGACTGGAGCATCGAGGGCGCTTTCACCGGGCAACTGGGGAATGACAAGGCCCGGAGAAGCAGCACCAGCGTGGTAGGGGCACGATTGCTGCAGCCTCCACAGAAGCTGGGTGGTGAGGTGTTCAAGGCGGTCCTGGCGTGTTTGGTTCGAAGTGACGGAGGGTCCCGGGCTGACCGGGGCCGGCTTCAACGCCCTGGAATCGGGGTTTGGCCGTGACTGAGTGGACCCGCAGATCCGAGTCGCGGTACTAACTCGCTCATACTTTCTCCGTGGTTTCAACAGCAAGTGAAGCTTGTACTCGGTCGGGCCATCCTGCGGCTCGGGCTCGAGCTTCGTAACTCCGTAGTCGGATAGCAGCCCGAAGCCAACAGGTCCCTTCCGCTCCGGCAACGAACCTGGGGTCGGAGAGTTGCCAGCTTCTCCCGACCGCAACCACGGAGAAGCAACCCGGGGCGGGTCGGGGTCGAAGGTAAAGACCGACATCGAATACTCTCTATGATGAGGGTTTGATCAAGAAGTTGTTGGTTCGCTTGACCGGTAATGGTGCTGGGAAAACACGAGCGCTGATGCTGGATGGGTTGGTACGTCAAATCAATGGGATAATATAAGTATAGATATTGCACAGTCGGTCATTCCAAGGGATAATCGACGCTGTATTCGTGGTATCATCTTGGGGAGAGCTTCTGAGAGCGATCAAGCTCAAAAAGAGGTGAAGGGCGAAAACCCAAAGAGAACAAAACGTCCAAATGCTGTAGTTACAAGAACCAGCGCGTTAAATCAGTGGAAAGAAGCCATTCTGAGTGAATGTCTTGTCAAATCTAAGGGAGGCCGCTGGTGAAGGGGAAAAAACACACCGATGACTCCCAAATTGTGCATGAAAAGAAACCATTAAGACAATGCGGGTTATCCTATTAGAAGACTGGCCTGTTCGCCCGAGCGGCCTCTGACGCATTCAGCAGGGGCACCCGATTGGGTGTTTGTTAAACATGAGATGGCCTGGTACCTCTCCCATTTGCTGCCTCCACTACCCGATTGCAAGTCGCAGTTTAACGTCAATCTAGCATCAACCCCACGAAGAAAGAAAATACCGACAATTGACGGCAACATTCCCAGCTTATTTTACAGCAAAGAAGGGAGGCAAGAGCAAAGTCTATTAAGAACATCGCACACCGCATCTCCATTAAGAAAAGGCTGGAGATCATTCAGCCAACGATGCAAGTCGCATATTGAATCCACGCCAAAACAGCCAAGATGGCGGTGTATCCGCCTGGGGATCATTCCCCACCCCCGCCGAAGGACGAATGGCAACTCGAATCCCGAGAATCGGAGGCGTTGAGAGCGCAAGAGAAAGAGGGGGAGAAGCGAAGATGGTCAAGATGGCTAAGATGGCACTGCTGGGGTTTTGCGAAGAAGGCCCCGCAGGAAGCGGACAAGACGAAAAAGGCAAGTTAGCTGTCTGCCACATTGACAATTATTTGGATCCCAGATGCTTCTTGGTACAAGACACCGTCGGGTGAGGAACGCAGTGGCTCATGGGTGGTGCGTCGTCACTGCGCCTGTCTGCGCCCAAGACTGCGGCGAGGAGCTGGGGCCAAGGGTCGTCAGCATTGCGAAGCAGGGGGTGGGCCGCGCTGCCAGGAGCGTTCCATTTTTACCCGATGGGTCAGAATCTGGAACGGACCCAAGACACTGGCCGTCAGGATGCAGCTGTCCGGCATCCACCGCCCAAGTCCCACCTAACCCCACCGGTCTTTCGCATTCAAGATACTTCCTGGCCCCTGAACTTTCAACACTCTTCTTCTTTTCGTCCCGTTCCAAGGGCTGCTTGCACGTTCTGTTTGTTCTCTTGTTCTAACCATTTCTAGTCGTCTCCGAAGAATCGCGGGTTTCGTTCCATCATGGGGAGATTCGGGTCCTTGTTTAAGAAGTCAGAGAAGGAGAAGCCGGAGTCGAACCCTTACGCTCAGCAGCCTGCTGCCCAATCTCCCGCCCAGTCCTCCCCTCCTCCGCAATACGATCAGTACACCCAGTACAACAACTCTCAATACAATGACAACCAGTATGCCACGCAACGCCCTCAAGGCCAACCGTCCGGTTTGCCGACCGGTCCCCGCCCCGGCGGCCTTCCGGGCAGAGTAGCCCCCGGGCCAGGCTTTGGAAACGACAAGCCCCCCCCACCACAATACTCGCCCCAGCCTTCCCAGTATTCTGCCTACAGCCCCTCGCTTGGCTCCGCAGCCGGAACCCCCGTCCTCCCCTCCAACACTTCCAGCCCGTCGATGGGTACCGGATTCCCAAGGGAGAAATATGGTGCTTCGGACGGCGTTGGGAAAAATCGGTTCGAACCTGCGCCATCATCGTATGGCAACTCTGCTGGCCCCTCTTCACAACAGCAGGGAGGTTACGGAAATTTGGGAGGCACAGGGAGCGGGGGCCTGTTCGACAACTACAATGGCCCCTCCAAGCAGACTGCTGGGTCCGTGCCGGGGCAGGCAGGCGCGGCTTACGATCCCTCCATGCAATATGGTGAATCGCAGGCGATGACCGCAGAAGAAAGGGAACAAGCCGAAGTGGACGATCTGAAATCCCAGATCTTGGCAGAGCAGGAGGCGACAAACCAATCTGGGCGACGCGCCTTAGCCATGGCGACCCAGGCCAATGAACAGATGGAGGCCATATCTGGCCACCTTCTTCGGAACACCGAGGCGTTTAACCAGATTGAAAGGAACGCGAACAGGACAAGTAATTTCCCTAGGCTTGAACCGCTGTTGTTGACCGGTGACTGACGCGACGCTGCAGAGGCCCAAGCGGATATTAGCGGTGTAAACATAGACAGCCTGAATGCGGCCAATACGTCAATGTTCAACTTTGTCGCCAACAGCAAAGCGAGAACTGCGATGCGGGAAGATAAAAAGATGAACATTGAACGGCAAAACGAAGCGCAGCTTGAACAGGTGAGGCAAGAGGAGCAAGACCTTGCCCGGAAGTGGCAGGCCAGAGAACAACAGCTCGAGGCTGCTAGGCCCAAGGTGCTTCTTGGTGCTACCAGCAAAACGGAGTCCTCCAAATGGGAGTTCGAAGATGACACTGGCGAGCAGAGGGAAAAGAATGAGGAGCATGATGAAATCGTGGACCAACTCACGGAGGCGAGCAGACAATTGCGAAAGGGGGCAGAGTTCCACAAGTTCATGCTTGAACAACAAAATGCCCAGCTTGACCGCATCACAAACAAGGTAAGCGGCCGCCATTCATTTCACCAGACCTAGGTACAGCATGTTACTGACACAGATTCTAGGTCGAGACTGCTGGCGACGCTGTGACAAAGCAGCGGGTTCGTCTTGACACCAGGTACAAATGATGATGCTTTGAACAGGGGCTTCTTGTGTGATGAAATGGCAGCTTGCCATTGTTGGAATGAGATTTCTCGAGGGTTTTCCGTGGCGTCCATCCGCTCCGTTCACGAGCATTATACTGTAACTAGGGGTTAATATTACAAAGCATTGCGCTGTCGTTCAATCTTTGGTCCTTATGAGAACACTCTCCTCAAGTCGCCAGCATGCAAGTGATGTCAGGCCAAGTTGTATCAAGTTATTCGTCTTTGGCGTGGCTTTGGAAAGTTTCCAGGGGCCCCTCCCACCCAATCCCGCTCCCAAAACAGGCCCCGATGTGCCTTGGCTCCACAATTAAATTCTTTCCCTCTTCGCTCTTCGCATGCGACAACACGGAGGGCCGATATGCCGAAAAAAAGGAAAGGCGACGGCAGTGCCGACGTTGTCAAGATTGGAAATAAAGTAATATCCCTTGACGGATACCTATCTAAGAAACCGAAGATCGAATCCAACTCATTGGCACCAAATCCGGAAACTGACTCCTCAACACCACTGCTGCCACCATCTCTCGCACCAGCTTCGAATGTTGAAGGGGCAAGTTCTCGAGGAACCATCCCTTCCAGGCCACCTGCAGGTGATCCCCAATATTTCGATACACGACAGGCTCTACCGTTATGGTCCCGGCAGGAAGAGATCCGCCGCATTTTGCGGCAAAAGGATGTTCTAGTCCTCGTGGGTGAGACGGGCTCGGGCAAAAGTACTCAAGTACCACAGTTCCTATACCAGGAAAAATGGTGTCAAAGGAGGAAAGTAAAGGTTCAGACTGGCGAAGGAGTGCAGGAGGTCAACGTGGGAGGCATGATTGCGATCACACAGCCGAGGCGAGTTGCCGCGACGACTCTTGCCCACCGTGTCTCCCGAGAAGCAGGCACGCCGCTCAATGCGCAAAATGCGGGCGGGGAAGGCAAGGGGCCCGCCTCGAAAGGCCTTGTGGGCTACTCTGTTCGCTTCGACCACCGCGTTCCGCCTGGGACCAGGATCAAATATCTAACCGAAGGCATGCTGCTCCAGGAGCTGCTTCGCGACCCCCACCTAAGGCAATACAGCGCGATCCTAGTCGATGAAATCCATGAGCGGAGCGTGGATGTCGACCTGCTGTCCGGATTTCTCAAGCAAATCATCTCCGGAGACAAGGCTGGCCGTGGCGGGATCCCGCTCAAAGTTGTCATCATGAGCGCCACGGCCAATGTCGAGAAGATCACCAACTTTTTCTCCGGTACAGAACCCGAAAACTCAAATGCACCTTCCAATCCAGTGGCTGGGCCAAAGAGTTCGGTTGAGTATCTCCAAATCGAAGGACGACAATTTCCAGTTGATATCGTTCATACGCCGAAAGCCGTCCCGGACATTCAGGAAGCGCTGCTGAAGACCATTTTCAAGCTACACACCGAAGAAGCCCTATCAGATAAACATGGCAAAAAAGACATATTGGCATTCCTCACCGGTCAAGAGGAGATCGAGTCCGCCCAGAGACTGATCGAGGAATACGCCTCGACACTGGGGCCGAAACTACCAAAAGTCAAGGTTTTCCCGCTGTTTGGCCAACTCTCGATGGAGGCACAGCACGAGGCTTTCCAGCCGATCAAAGGCGGGCATACAAGGAAAATTGTCCTTGCTACCAACATCGCAGAAACGTCCGTCACCGTGCCTGGCGTACGATACGTAATCGATTGTGGGAAGTCAAAGGTGAAGCAGTTCCGGCCAAGGCTGGGCATGGAGTCGCTGCTCGCGAAGCCCATTTCAAAGTCCTCTGCCATCCAGAGGACTGGTCGAGCAGGGCGTGAAGGCCCTGGCAAATGTTTCAGGCTTTATACCGAAGAGACATACGAAACGCTCTACAAGACTGACCTTCCCGAGATTCTACGGACCGACATCCTCAGCGCTATCCTCACGATGAAAGCGAGAGGCATTGATGATGTTTTGGCCTTCCCTCTGATGGACAGACCTGGGATTGAGTCGGTTGAGAAAGCCCTCTTACATCTGCATATTCTCGGTGCGCTCGCAGACGACGGCTCCATAACGGAAGTAGGGCGCAAGATGGTATCGTTTCCCGTCTCGCCGCCTTACGCCCGGGTTATAATGGCAGCAGCGTCCCCGAAGTACGACTGTTTGCTTGAGGCGATTGATATCATCTCATGTATCACGTCCGGTGAGGACATCTTCCTTCAACTTCGGACGGAGGAGGCAAAGGAAGAAGTTGAGGAGCACCGGAAGGAGCTTTTTCGCCGCGAAGGTGATCTCCTTACCTACCTAACGACGATGCAGCTCTACTCAGCCGAGAACACCGACCGAATCAAATGGTGCAAGGACCGCAAGCTCAACCTCAGAAACATGAAACAGGCCCTGAACATTCGGAAGCAACTTCGCGGCCTGTGTGTACGGCAAGGCATGATGGAGCAGCCGCCTCCGGATCCGCAACCGTTCACTCCACTATCGCCTGAATTGGCGGCGGCAATCCTCAAGTGCTTCCTGACGGGGTTCTCTATCAAGACGGCGATCCTAGCACCGGATAATAGCTACGTCACGGCGCATGGTAAACACGTCGTGGCAATACACCCCTCCAGTGTTATTCATGGACAGAAGAAGGAGGCCATCATGTTCTTGGAGCATGTGTACACGCAGAAGAACTACGCAAAGAAGGTCAGCGTCATCCAGGCCGTGTGGATAGCCGAAGCTCTTGAGGGGTAGATGAACTGGGCAAGGACTTATCCTGGAGTGAATCTTAATAATTCTGTTTCCGTACTTGTCTCCCCCGCCCAAATTCATATTGTAAGGAACACATGGAGACTCAGAAATCCTAAACGCGACTCATTGAACCGAACGGAAAACATGTGAAAGGGGAGCGATATCTGGCCGGGTCCGCACTGTGTGGACCCCGCTTGGTGAACTCCTGAATGGTCGTGCTGTGAGCTCAAGATAACTAACCTCAACATCCAACACAACATCGTCGATGATCGTCTTAGACTTTTCCCCGTCAACACATGTCACTAGCCCAGGAACCAACACCACCGTCTACTTACTAGAAGGAGAAAATAACGCGCACCCTTGGGCAATGACATAAGGAAGCTCGGAAAACCAGCGAAAGAAAAAAGAGCAACAGAAGAAACGGACCAACCCGTTCTCTCACAATGAGACACTCCCTCCGCCTTTTGGCATCAGCAATGCCCTCGGCAAATAACATGTCACCCGGCCCAATGGCTCTCCTACCACCAATATACCTATACCGACGTCTTTTTCGAGCCCACAGGAAACACCTCCCGTCCGAAATGCGGGTGCTGGGAGACGAGTATATCAAGGCCGAGTTTAGGGCCCATCGGGATGTGGAGAACCCGGTCCATTTGGTCAGTTTAGAGCTATTGTATTAGAGATAGCGCAGAAGCTTAACTACCTTGTGCCTGGTCTTAGATTGGATTCCTCACAGAGTGGCAGCTCTACGCACAGAAGATCGAAGGCGACGCCTGGATCGGAGAGAAGCTCGACCAAGGGAAGATTGCGAAGATGAGTGGTATGAAATTTTAGTCTCCTTTTCCATTGCCATGTCTTGAGCGAACGGGTTCCGTCACTTACACTAACTCGTGGGGATAGATGAGCAACTTGGGCAACTGTACGAGCTGATGAGAGCTATACAGAAGCGCGGTACGGAAGGCCAAAGCTCAGATTCATGAGCGGTACGGATGTATGTAGTAGGCACGCTTGGTTTTAATGGGAAGTCATCGACATCTTTCCGGGAAGATTCCAGGCCTCAATTTAATGCTGCTTTCAGCAGTGTTCTAGTCAGTTCCCAGGTTGATCCCATATTCAAGCACCCGGAGGAGGTTGCGCTTCTCTCCGCCGAGGTCTGCTAGTAGCCCCTCGTCGCCTTCTCTCTTTACCTCCTTCAGTTCACCGTCTGACTCATTTCCGTCGGCTCCCACACGGCCTTCCCTTTCCCTTTGACGTCTGGCTGCCGTTCACTACCTATTGATTCTTTCGTTATATCGGTAAACTGTTTGGAGCCGCTTCCATCCATGACATTTTGATCGGGTTCGGAAACGGGGGACGGTGGGGTGATTTCCTTGCCTTTCCCCTTTCGCTTCCTTTGTGCCTCGGCGTCTTCTCCTTCTTCGCCTCCTATAGACGATGTATTTTGTACCGCTTGGTCGCTGATTCCGAGAAATTGCAGTCCCGAATTCGTGTCCTGTTGCTGTCGGAGCCGCGGGTTCGCTAGCTTCTCCCGGGTCCGATATCTCTCACTCAAAATTTCCCCATACGCGACGGACGCTTTTTCCATCCATTCCTTCTTCGACTTCGGGGTGCCGGCAGCGAAGACCCTGTCTTTAATCTCCTGCGATAGTTGAGTTGCCTCCGAGCTCGCCTCCCCATTGCCGTCCTCCATGGCCGCAAACAGCTCCAACCGATGCTTGAGTTTCTTAGCCATGGGATGCCCTTCCCAAAAGGCGACCCGTACGGTGTCGTACGCTTCTTTCATGATATTCCAATGTTCTGAACCCTGACCCAAGTCCAACGTCTGAGGCACCATGATAACGGCTAGCGTGTTCAGGGACCTGGCAGTTTCGTAGTGCCATTGCCCATACGCAACCTTGGCCAGCTCCACCGCCTTCCTGGCAAACTGGTTTGCCTCTTCAAACAAACCGCGGTGGGAAGCAGTCTCGGCCATGGCGCGCATCAGGTAAAGCGTCTTGGGATCGCTGGGCCCGTACAACAGCGGGGCTCGTTTGAGCTCACTCGCGTAGACCTCATAGGCCCCTTTGAGGTCGCCCGCCCCTAGATATGATTGCCCTAGACCAACCGACAGCACAAAGGCGTATTCGTGCCCTGGGAACTTCCCGTAGATATCAGGTGGCAGGGCCCGGAGGTCCTTGTAGCGTTGGAGCCAATGGGGCAGATCTGCACCCCCCGAGCGGCGGATGAGTTCGTCCTCCCAGGACCAGACCTGAAAATCGTGCTCATCGGCGTACTTCTTGACTGTTTCGATGGCCATTCTGAGATATTCTTTGCCATCTTTGTGTCTTCCTGAGTCAAACAGCATGCTTGCTAGCTCTGCATAGGTACGGCCCACCTCGTCGTTCCACTCCAGTAGGGATTCCCCCTTGGGTTCCCGAGCGGTGGCAGCGTCGACTTTTTCCATGCTCTGCTCTAGCGTCTTAAATACCGGCGGGAGTGCGTTATCACGCTTCACAACGGAATCCTCCGCGTCTGGTGTGCTAAGGATCTGGTCTCTGTCGTCTGTGATACTCTGGTCGGTTGACTTGAACAAGAGAAGGCGGGCTGCCCTCTGATACCTAGCTTGCCTTTTCAGATCCTTCTTTGTTCGCTCCATCCGCTCCTCCCGCTCCATGTACTCGCCCAGCAGGTCGTCTTTGCGCATGTCCAACATCTCAATCAGTTCCAGATACGCTGCCTCCGCGTCGCCGATGCGGCCCATTTCGTGGTAGACGTTTGCTAAGAGCGAGAGACCGAAAGTTGCCGTCTGGCTGTAGCCACCGGTGTTGCATTTCCATACAGGCAGCATTCTCTGTAAGTGATCCACGGCAAGAGAGAACTGCTTCTGTTGGTAATAGTACCATCCCAGCTTGAAATCCAGGTGAGCCTCGTATTGGTGGTGATAGCCGACGGATTCGGCCTCGTGGGCCATGCAAGCGTTCAAGTGAGGAGGTAGGAACCGCAGAAATGCCTGGTCCAACCTATTCCAGCCCGGCTTTATTGACTCAATAAGGATGGCCCTGGCAGCATGGGCTAGCCGTTTCCTCGTCTCTTTGGCCATCCTATCTTGGGCCCAGGCTTGCACCATGACATGCATCGAGACAGTGTCTCTCTTCCGTGAATGCTTGACGAGGGAAAATTGTTGGAGGATCTGCACGCCCAAGTTGAAATGGAGAGCATCCCATTTCTTGCTGGGGTACTTGCATGTGAACAGGTTAGTCGCATCCATAAACGGATCGTCGGTAAGTTTTGAAAGGGGGTAGACCCCATTACTGCCCCATCTTTGCCGCTCCTCGGCTGAGCGCTCGATCATGCTGACTGGGATCTCCTCATTGTGGTAGAAACAGAGCAGGTTCAACGCCGTCAGAGCGCTATGCGCGGCAGTGCCCATAACGCCGCGCCCCTCGCGCCTCCGGAGGCTGATGAGGGCGTCATAGGAGAGGTCGAGCGCGGTATACAGTGCCGGACGAGCCGGTAAAGAGCCGTCATCATTTTGTTTACTAAGTAACTCGGGCCTATTTTGCTGGTTGCGGAATCTCTGTAGGTACGTGAGGGGGGTGAAATCCCCTTTTCTCAGAACTGACCCCATAGCCTCGATGGCGAGGGGCAGACCACCGACTTCGACCACACTAGCCCGCAGCGCTTTCATTTCCTCCTCGTTTGTTCGAAATTTTTCGTTGCCTGCGATCTTCAGGAGCAGCTCGACTGCGTCCTCTTCAGAGAATGAGTTGACCTCGTACACGCACTCTGCAGGGAGGTCCGCCAGAAACCCCTGGGATCGCGAAGTATAGATGATGTTGCCCGTGTTCCGGCGTGGAAGAGTTGGCGCTAGGCGGCCGTTGTCGGGGAGATTGTCATAGATGATGAGCCACTCTTCAGACAGCTTTCCTATCCATTCCAGCGCCACATCTTTCATCTCGTCGATGGTTCCTGACGGAATGGCCCTTGTTTGGCTATACCCTGGACAATATTGCTGGCAAATTCTAGCATAGCTCTGGCTCACCGACGGTTCGGTTGTTCCGTCGATCTGGAAGACGTACGTGAATCTATTTGCGGGTTAGAAGGGGGGGAATTCAACACTGACGAGAAGTACTTTGAACATACCTCTCCTCGAGATCGTCAGCGGCCTTTAAGGCAATCTGGGTTTTGCCCACTCCACCCATGCCATGCAAGAGGAACTCCCGTCGAGGTTTGCCTTTGGTATCTCGTAAGAAGAAGCAATTGTCCAGCTTGGCCAATATGTCATCCCTCGCCATGAAGAAGCGGTTGATGTCACCCAACGACCGAGCTTCATGCGTAGTCAAGATGACTTGGTCTTTATCGATGCCGGCTAGCTTCCCAATTCAGTATCCCGACACTGAAAATAATATAAGGTGGGCTTTCTTACCGGCGTGGCCAAGAGTTAGTCCATGCTCGGATGAGTTACGGCCCAGGCCGTCGGCCGCGTTCAGGATCTGAGCAGCAACAAGAGGTTGGGCCAAGTAAGCCGCCGTTGCAACCTTAAGAGTACCAATCTGGAGATACTTGTCCAGCCCAACCTTGTCGGCGACATCGGGAACATTGAAGCGGAAGTATGCGTTCGTGTAGTCGCCCAACTTTTCCTGGACCTGGCGATGCGCGTCTTCGCCATCGGTTGCAGTGTTTTTTAGTGTCCCAATCAGTTCTTTCACAAATTTCAGTGCTTGCCCAACGTTCTTCATACCCGTCGATGCCCTCCCAATCCTAACTACCCTTGTTCCTGTTCCGATGCTGATGAGACAACCAAGCCGCCGGCCTTTCCCAATATGAGCCGCCGCTTCCTGGAGAAGGTAGATGACGGGATTGTTGCAGCCTATAGCGGCATCTATGAATTCCTCGGCGCTCGGCCCAACCTTGACAGTCATGGGCTTGAAATAGACGGAAGCAGCGGTGGTAGCGCGTGCGGCCTCCCATATCTTGACAGTAAAACCGTCACGGTCAGTGTCGTGAGTGCTAAAGGACCGGAGCCGGCGAGGTTCGCCAATTTTCTCGGCGGGCATGACACAGACAAAACATTGCCCTTTGGAATCGTGAGTAAGGGATGCGTCTCGGAGGTATTCGCCCATGTTGCGCCGCCGGACGAGATCCTCGACGACCATCTTGAGAGCAGTGGCCTTGTACTTCTCAGTGGCAGTGGTCCACTTCTTGTTGCTCGAGGAGAAGATCTTTTGGGAACACTCGTCGTATTCCCGTAGAGCCTCCTCTGTCGACATGCGGAGCCTTCCGAGCATAATCGCAATTAAGCTAGAACGAGATCAACAACGAGTTGCCAGCGCAGCCCCTTTCGAGCTTTCACTCACCCTCCGGTACTAGTGCCTCCAATCATATGGAAGTAGTCACAGGGCTTGGGAATGGTTTCAAGACGGCAAGACTCCTTGATCTGGACCATGATTTCGTGTAATATGAGTAGTGAAGCCACTCCTCGTACACCCCCACCATCTGGCTTCTGTCAGCATGAGTCTCCATAATCCAAGACTATATCGGCAAAGGCGCCAGAACCTACCGAGAGAGAGGAGGTTAATGGCTTCCTCATCGTTTCTGGCTGGCATTGACGGCGTTTGTATGAGTTCCAGGCATACCCGTAGGATGTTGTCAGGTACCTACGTTTTGTGGCTCATCAGGAGAGAAATGCAACCCTGCCTTGGATCGAGGGAACGTCAATTATACATATACCTAATACCCCCTGACAAGGTTGATTGGGCATGCAGCATGTTGGGCCAACGCGCAGTGCAACCCTCCAATAACGAGTGCCCCATAACCGCTAAAATCGACCTGCATATTTTGGCGGTGACCAGACGCTGGGGTCCTGGGACCTCCCGAGTTTCTGTCACACATCTGCATGCTCATGCATATCCAGCCCCTGAAATCCAATGGCTCGGTAGCACGAGAAACAGAGGCATCCGGTTTATTTGTAACCTTATTAGCTCTCACTCAGTCCGTGCTAAGGGATGGTTTACCCGAACATTCTGCACGGTATTGAGCTTCAGGCAAGCCCTCCGGCTTTTTGGCTAACTCAGTAGGTCCCTACCGACCTAGGTCCACCAGCCGGGATAGGATGAGGAGGTGAAGGTTGAGTCGGCGATGTCGGACTACCGAAAGACAAATATAAAAGTGAGTTAGACGACTAAGTAGCCTCGGCGGCAGTCCCAGGTGCACCTGACGTTCAAAAATACACTCAATCACCACTTGTCCCCTCGTCTACACTGGCCGTTGCTGGGCTCGTTCTTGATAAGTTCCAGAATCCGGCCATCAAGAGGAATTTAGTCTGCTGTCTCTGGCCTTCTTCTTTCTAAGATCAAACCCTTGGATCTTAGTGCCGCGCCTTTTGCCATGGCTAGCTCTCCTCAACCATAATCTGACAAGTTTTTCTAATAAAAGATGGCCATTTCGACTCCAGGATCTCCTCAACGCCGCGTCGCCTAGCTCACACCAGACCGTGACGATACTAGGCACGCGAGGGGAGACGAATGAAACGCCATCTATAATTGTCTGGTATCATATACTGTTAGTCTAGTACATGCCAGCAAAATACATAGGTATATTTAGCCACCGGTCCTTGTCATAGCCCTTTATTTTATTCAGAGGCGTCGTTGCCGTCGGTAGGTCTTCTCCCGAATCTCGTGGGGCGTCCCACACCTTTGACTGCGGCCTTTCGCCATCCCCTCCATCACGAACACTGCACTCTTTGTTGCCGGACTGAGCTGCCTCGTTTCCATGGGCCTCGTTCTGCCACGATCCCTCCGCATGTTCGAGTTCACCGCAGGCGCAAAGATAGATACGACGACGAGGCTTAGCAGGGTTGATTTGGTCATCTTGGTCTTTAGCCTCAGCTAAGGTGGTCTGCCTCTCGTCCTCGATATCTTTCTGGCATTGTTTGGCCAATGTGCTGTCCGGGCCAAAGCACTCAGAAAGCTTTTTAAGTTGCTCCTCGCGGGTTTTTGCTGGACCATTGCCCACAAAACGGGTAAAGCGCTTGACCAGGATATGATCTTCCCCAAGCTCGGCCTTCATGACTTCCAACTCGGCTTTAGACTCTTTCCATGCCTCATCCATCGACGTTGACTTGACCAAAAGTCTTGTCGGAAATGCAACTGGTTTCTTCTGGTCTCGCGTTACCAGCCGCAGCCTGTGCCGAATCCGACTCGTTATAGAATGGGTGAGACCAAGGGCTTCCTCTGCCCTGGTGAGAGCCTCGCGTAGAATCTTTTCTCCCTTCATCATCGCTTTCGAGCGTCTGGAAGAAGCGGGCTTCCCAGAGTCTTTCCAAAGCCAGCGCCGTCTCCTGGTGGCACTCTCCATAGACCCGCCTTGACCGGCCGAGGCACTCTCTCGCGATTCCCACCGCAAGGTCACCATCGTTGGCTTCTATCTTGCAAACGACCATGCGACGTAAGATTTCCAGTATCTTCTTGTCGTAGGGCCCATAGATTCGCTCGAAGATCTCTTTCGCCTCACAGTACCGCCGGTATGCCTCGTCATATATCTTGTTTTTGAGCAGACAATCGGCGTACGCAACCATGAGCTGCCACCCAACCTCGGGGTCCCGATACTCAGCATTATCTGGTTCATCCTCAAGGGCATACCAGTGCTTCAGACGCTTCGCCCAAAACTTGTAGTCCCCAGGCGTTGTGATCGATCTTGCCTCATTTTGGACCCTCAGGAGCTCCGGGTCGTCTTCTGGCAGCAAACTCTCGAGGTTCTCGGCAGCTTTGAGGAGCATGCGCTTGCCCATGCCGTACCTGTCCTGATCCATATACACCTTCGCTAGCTTTCCGTGAAGAATATTGTATCGTGTCCAGAGTTGGTCAATGTCGTCAGGAGGTTGTGGTCTTTCTGTTTTCGCGACTATCTGTTCCGGTGGTGGGCTTAGATCGGTGGGTTTGACCACCTCTTTCCCTTTCGAGAAGCCGTCCCGACTGTTCTCTAGGAGCCGCCTGAGGGTTCTGGATGAGCGGTTCCTCATCTGTGACGGCTTTTGAGGGAGGTTTTCTGGATCGCAAGTCGATCGAGCCTCAGAAGAAGGGTCCTGGGAAACTGCGTTTTGTTCGGCCTCTTCCACAGCCGCCATGGCATCCTCACATTCCTTGATCCTCTTGTGCATTCTGTTGGCGGTTTCCAAGTAAGCCATTTCAGCATCCCCCAAACGGCCCATCTCATGGTAGAGCGCGGCCAACCGTTGTAGAGTGTTGATAACGCTCCAGGAATCGTTGCCTTGTTCCACTTTCCAGAAACGCATGCACTTGAGAAATTCTCTCTCGGCATCCTCAAATCCCTTGTTCAGTTCATACATCCACCCCCTTTTTAGCTGCAATTGGGCCTCGTACTCATCGTGTTGCAGCTCTTTCGATCGACGCACCAAGCACGCGGCAGCATGCGGACCCATCAACCGGGCATCTGTTTTGTCGAGCCATCTCCATGAGAGCACAATCGACTCACTGAGGATGATCTTGGCTACTAGGCAGTATCGAAGGTACATATCTTGCTCCATTCGGTGTCGGGCCCAGCTGTGGACCAAGACGTGCATCGATACAGTGGATGTCTTGCGATCACGCTTGACGAGGGAAAAGGTCTCCAGAACCTTCAACCCCACTGATACCCAGTTCACATCCCAGCTCCCGTCCTCCTTGACCTCCAGCATGCAGTCGAGATCCGAGTCGGGGGGCTCCATGATCTTGCTTAGCGGGTAAACCAAATGTGCCTTACGCTTGTACCGTTCCTTAGCCGCGCTCTCTAGGGCTGTGATCGGAAAGTCTTTGTAGTGGTAGAAGCAAAGCACCCCCAATAACTTGAGAGCCACCACGGCGGAACGGCCGGCGAATTGCCTCCCTCCACGGCGCCGCCGTGCCTCCATGGCGGCGTAAGAAAGTTCTAGGGCGGCATAGACTGTCGGGTTCTCAACGTTTTTGTCCTTGAAGCGGGGGTCGTGGAGAATGCCAACCTTGCGAGTCCGAAGACCCGTGAGATAGTAATCTAACATCATCCCATCCCTGATAGACGCTGCTGCTTTGTCGATGGCCAGCGGGAGACACCCCAGCTCCTTCACAATATCTTCGGCCAAGGCGGCGTCCGGGTGGACTTCAGGATCGCCTTGGAAGCCAGACGCTCTCTGGAGAAGCTCGACGGCGTCGGGTACACCGAATGGCGTGATCTCAAAAACGCAATCAGGGGGTAGGCCGTGCTTGAGCGATGTCAACCGAGAGGTGTAGATAATGTTCCCCTTGCCTCTGCCAGGGAGGTGGCTTCGCCGGTCAACCAAGTTGCAGTCATCGAAGATCATCAGCCATTCTTCTGTCAGCTCTTCCATCCATTGCATCGCAAGGATTTCCATGGCTTCGGTACTGCCGTGTCCTAGATTGTGCCGCTTGCAGATTTGGGCATAACTCTGGCAGATTGTCGAAGGCATCGATCCGTCAATGAAGAAAATGTACTTGAATCTGTCATACAGTCAGTGAGGTTGCATAACTAGGGGGAACCAGAAGGCACATACCTGTCCTCGAAAACCTCACCGACTTTCAGTGCGATTTGTGTCTTACCGACACCGCCCATTCCGTGTAGTAAGCACTCTCGGCGCGGCTTTCCTCCTGTATTGCGCTCAGAGAAAAGGGAGTCAAGGCTTTGCAGGATGTCTTGCCGCCCGGTGAAGAAAGAGCTTGACATTCCTAGTTTCTGGATCGGGTTCGATAAGATCACTTGCTCTTCGTCGAGACCTATTGGAGCATTAGCATAACGCAAACGATGAATTTTCCAAGACCAACAAGCTCCGTACTGAGGTGGCCGAGCATAAGGCCGTGGTGGAACACGTCTGTTTTCAAGACCTCTGCTATCTTCTGAACCTGCTCGCTGATTGCTCTCTCGCCAAGATAACCCGCTGTCAACGATTTCAGCTCGGGCATCTTCTCGTAATGGTGCAAGCCGACCTTCTCGGCCGCTTCTGGGACGTTGAACCGGAAATAGGAGCCAGGAAAGCGGACCAGCCTCGACTGCAGTTGGCGATGGGCTTCCTCGGCGTCGGTCGCCTTAGACTTTAATGCTTTGATCAGATGAATGTACCAGCCAGGGGCTTGAACAAAGTTCTTCAGACCCGTAATGGCTCTTCCCAACTCGATATGGCGGGTACCGGTGCCGATACTAACAACACAACCGAGACGCCGACCCGTCCCAAACTCAAGTACTGCTTCATCCAAGAGGTACTTGATGGGGTTATTGGCGCCGATGGCTGCGTCGATGTATGTCTGCGCTTCGGGCCCGTCGCCTAGCTTTTGTGGTTTGAAGAAAGATGAGGCTGCCGTGGTAGCTCTCGCGGCCTGCCAGATGGTGATGTTCCTGTCCCACTGCGGCTCGCCCGGGTCTCCCGGAAAAGAACGTACTACCCGGGCGTCCTCAATGCTCTTGGATGGCATGACACAGACGATTGCTTTCCCTTTGTCGGGGCGCTCAGGATCCCACATGGTTTCCCCTAGACCGCGTGCCTTGACGATGCCCTCGACAGCTTCTTGAAGCGCAGTGGCCCGAAATCTTTCTGAGACGCTCCATTTCTTGCGGTTACTCTTCGAGAAGATCTTGGCGGCGCAGTTGTCATATTCGTCCAAGGCCTCTCGGGTTGACATGCGTAATCGTCCCAGCATAATCGCGATGAGCCTGGGTAGTAAGGTAAGCCGTTGTCACGCCCTTTAACATGTTCATGTCCTCTAATAGCTTACCCTCCAGTGCTGGTTCCGGCAATCATATGAAAATAGTCGCATGGTTTGGGAATCTCATCAAGATTGTACTTGTCCTTCATTTTGGTCATGATGGCATCCAAAATGACGAGCGAGGAGACTCCCCGAACACCGCCGCCATCTATACAAGATCAGTTACTGTGTTAGATTATGAGAAAAACAACGTGACCCACCGAGAGAGAGGAGGTTAACGGCCTCATCTCCACTAGGTGCCATGGCTAGCCTCGCCCTCCTCGCTGAATAGTTGATCTGAAGTCGCCTTGCACGACACTGGGAGTGTCATAGATCCATAGGAGTGCGGCATGGAGAGAGATGGCCGGTGGGAATGGCCACAGCCCCAAGCAACCGGGTTCAGCGGGAGGGTTATACTGAAAGAGGCGTCCTTGTGGGCTTCAATACGACCCTCCAATGGGAAGCGCATCGGTAGCGCCGGGGTCCGTCGCAGCGCCCAACATGCAGAAGCCGCGGCATGACAGGTCCCTGTACAACCATACAGACCGACAAGAGAGTTCTTTGAGCTCTTGTGCCTCATCCCCATCTACTGGGGATCCGTGTTGTTGGGCCATAGTGAACTCCAATCATCCAGCGAGCTTCACCACCTCACCGCCATGCCGACGGCCACCTGCTTCCAACATCGTCGTGACGAATCGGATCGAGTAGAACCTGGAAACTGTCAAATATTGGACGCACCACCGAGAGAGCAATCACAAAATCCACAGAAATATGTACAGATACTTTACCACACCCCTCTTTTTGCATCAGGCTGTCATGCGTTCCACTGCATCGGTACGCTCTCCAAGCTGCTGTTGGCCGCGGTGTGGTTGTGCGTAGGCAGAAAGGACCTCATGGGAGCTTATGGCGGCGCGCACCGCCCCCTGTAACCAGAGCGAGGTTGGTTTCGTGCCCGGAAATACAGGGGCCTGGCCCCCAGGCCGATAAAAACACACACCCGAAGCAAGCAAGCGGGCAAACGAGTTGGTATCATGATGGAGGTATGTATCTCATAAAATATTGGTTGATTCGTCTCATTTGACTTTCATTTCATGTCAGAATCCCATGTATCCCTTTTGTGCCTCATCGCGGTTGTTATTCCTCTCTCTAACCACACAAGAGCCACCGCCACCACCCCATCCCATTAACACAGAAAAGCTGGGAACGATGCCCAAACCAATGTACCTAGATAGATCCCAAGACGGCCTCCCTCAAAAAAAAGGAACCAGATTCACACTCCCCACAGCCAGCCATAATCTCACATCCCATCGCCCTCACTCATACCCCTTCTCACCGACCTTCCCTCGACTACCCCCTCCCCTCTACCCTACCCCCGAAACCCCTCCTCATCCAAATACCACGCCGTATCCCCCTCGGGTTCCAACTCCCTCCTCGAGAACCCATTCCCCAAATACGCAAACCGATTCCCCCCCCTACTCTTTCCCTCCGCCCCCGACTCCAAATAAACAAACTCCCAATCCTCCCCGCGAAACCCCTCCAACATATGAAAAAAATGCACCCGACTGCCCGGATGCAGCGCCGTCACCGGCCCGTCCACGCGGCCATCCTTGAACCAGGAACGGTTCCCGGGCGCGCTCCATGCCGTGCGTGGCATGAAGGCCGAGATGTGCGCAAAGTAGTCGTCGACAGCCGCTTGCGAGGGGGCTAGGGCTTGGATCCCCTCGGTCTGGCATTTGTGGATCGCCCGGACGATGTACTTGGCGATGTGCTCGCTGAGCGTGAAGACGCTGCCGTGGCCGATGGGGGCGTTGGGGCCGAGGAAGGCTGCGTGGGAGGTGAAGGGTTAGTTGGGGGGTTGAGGTTGAGGGGGGTGAAGGGGGGGTGCGTACTGAAGTAGTTTGGTAGGCCGGCTACGGCGCACGACATGTATGCCTTGGGTGTCTCCTTGGCCCATCGGTCTTGTAGGTTGCCGTCGCGGCCGATGATGGGAAAGCGCGGGCGGAAGGAGGTGTTGAAGCCCGTGGCGCAGATGATGGCGTCGACTTTGAGGACCTCGCCCGATTCGAGCTCGATGCCCTCCGCCACGAACCTCTTGATCCCGGATCTCCTTAGCTCGACGTTGGGTTTGGTCAGCGCTTGGAGGTAACTGTGTCCGGGGGTCATTCTCCTTGCCCCGAGCGGGTAGTCGGGTATGAGCATTTTGCAGAGCTCTTGATTCCCTCCGAGCATGGCCGTCATGTACTCGCTGACCTTTGCGCGCGCGAAGGCTTGCACGGGGCTCTGTGTGAGGACCTAGCAGCCTGTTAGCCAGGGACGGACAGCAGCAATGCGGCACGGGAAGAAGATCACTTACCACGGGGAACGCATTGTTCACCTCCACCTCGATCTTCTTCACAAACTCGCGGTAGAACTCGGGGTCGGACTGGAACTTGTCGATCGTCTCTTGGGAAAAGTTTTCCAGGGCGTCCATCTGGATCTTGCTGAGAATCTCCCCCGCCTGGCCCATGACTTTCCATGCTTGTATCCTGGGTGGTAGTACCCAAGTGGGTGTCCGGAGGATGTGGTACAGTTTCTCAGCCCCTGGACGTTATTAGCTCTCGTTGTTAATGATCATTCTGAGTGGGTGCTCACCTGGTTGGAGCGCGGGTAGCACCTGGATGCCGCTCGAGCCATTGCCGATGACAGCAACCGTCTTGCCCGTGTGGTCAAAGTCCTTCGGCCATTGCGCGGTATGGATTAGGCTTCCCTGGAAGGCGTCGAGGTCATCAACCTCTGGCCACCTCCAGTTGCTATTCCTCACTGTCAGTACACCAACTTCCCATCGGACACAACAACCACCGCTTACTTCAAAATCCCCGACCCGTCCACGAGGAAGGTGGCGTGGTCACTAAACTCCTCGCCCGTCTCCAAATTCCGAACCGTCAACTCCCACTGCCCACCCTGCTCGTTCCATTCCGCCCGAACTACCTGGTGAGAAGTCTTGATCGAGTCCCTCATGCCCTCCTCGTCGCACACCTGACACAGGTAAGCTCCGATCTCCTCGGCCCCCGCGAAGAAGTTGGCCCAGTCCTTCTTCTGCCGCCACGAGAACTGGTAGCTGTGGCTGGGGACGTCGCACCGGCAGCCGGGGTAGCGGTTCTCGAGCCAGGTGCCGCCCACGTCGGTGTTCTTCTCGTAGATGGTGACTTCATAGTCGCTGAGGTTGAGCCGCAGGGTCCGGAGCAGGTTCAGCCCGCTCGCTCCGGCGCCGATGCCCACGATGCGGATGTGCCGGGTTGATCCGAGCGGTTGTTCTCGAACTGTGTAGGGGTTGGCGCTGGACAGTAAGGGCGCCTCTGCCGCTGGGTGGCCGTTGGGTTGCGTCATGACTTCGACGGGCGTCATGGTTGGCTCGGAAGGGCAGGAAGAAGGAGGAGTCGGGGGTAGTTTCTGAGGTCCGGTTTGGTGGGAGATGGCTTGGGTTTGAACCGAAAGTTTGGGACCCTCGACTACTTGATTTATATCCCGGTCCAGAACGGATCCGGAGGAAGGAGGCGGATGCATTGATAAAGAGGAGTGGGTGGGATAAAACCGCAGAAATGGTAATCTCTCCGCACCTGGTCCCGAACCTTGTTTCGATTCCCACGATTGGCAAGAGCTTGAACGGAATTCCAGGTGTCCTAGCCGGGTTTCCGGGTCTACGAACAGGTAACAGGATTCAAAACCAAGACAAACACGGGGGGCTCTTAAAGAAATACGACCTAGAGCTAGTTCCTTGCCCTGGTTCAGCTTGATGGAGTGGAGGTACCGGCCAGCTCAAGCACTTATACAGTTGGTCCATTTACGGCAGCCGAGACTTTGCCATGGGCTAGCTGTCGGATGATACTCGATTAACAGCCCCTGGAAGTCGGGGGGTGCTGCTGCGTGTATGTACAGACGTACAGCCGGATGGAGACATGCACACTCTGGACTCTGGAGGCACCTCTGTTATCCTCGTGCTCTCAGCTTGATGACGGCCATTCGGTGCCGACCATCCCCGATTGACTTCGGAACCTGGAATCCAATTGGCGCTGCTTGTTCAGAAAGTCCGATGCATGTTTTCTCCATCTCTTTGTTTGGCACTGGCAGGCAGGCTGAAGCAGGCTCAGGCAGGTTCAGGGCGAGGCAGGGTAGGTCGTGTGCTCCAGTCGTATTTTGTCCAACCACAGCGGTTGAGAGTTGCATCTGGGAAGTTGGGAAGTTGCAGAAGAGCGAATGAAATGCTTAGCCGAACAGGCTGGAAGTTCGGGCCCCGGCCGAGCTTGGCTGGCTTGGCTAGGATTCCGGATTTGCCCCGCCATGAGCGTACCTTGCTGCCCCGCAACGCGTTAAAAAAAAAGTTAAACTCCCGTCCCTCAGGAGCCAGGGCATCAACTCTCAGGGGGCCTGCGATTCGATTCAGTATACGTACAGATGCGACTAGGTTGGATTTTCAGCTGGGCAATGGTTTAAACGAGGCCTTCCTCAACGGCGAAGCAACGTGCACTTTTTTGTGGCAAACTTTTCCAGCTGCGGTGAACCGCATCTCCATTCGAAAAGCAACACTTGGGCCACAGAAGGATTGAGACTCAGCCCGGTCTTGAGAATTATTGGAACAGGGGTGGAACATGGCGTTCTCATTCTCCTTCGCCGGCGACGACATAGAGGAGGACCATCAAGCTCCCGCACCCCCACCTCCATCTCCGCCCTCTGGGAACAGTGCGTCAGGACCATCACCAGCAACAGCGGGTGCGTTCCCCGTCCAAGGCAAGCCGCTGCTCCCGCCGACGCAGCATAACCCGGAAGAGTTCCTCTCCAAGTTGCCGTCCAAGATCGCCTTCGGTCTGCTGGACGTCGATCTTGGAGATGGTCGCGTCATCCAACTGCCCCGGCGGGAGCTATGGGATGTGCGTGTCCAGCTGATGGCTGAGGAGAACACCGAGAATCCCTCTGAGTCGGAGGCCGCCCTCGGGGAACACGACGTCAAGACGGGTATCTACGAAGGCGGCTTCAAGAGCTGGGAGAGCAGTGTCGATTTGGTCAAGGTGCTCGCCAGCGAGAGAGCCGCCGATCTATTGGCACAAGACCCTTGCGTCTTGATTGAGGTGCGGTAACGCCTTCCGCATATTCAAGCATTTCTTGCTGACACACCTTGCAGCTGGGCTGCGGCACAGCGCTGCCTTCTCTCGCTCTCTTTCAATGGGCCTTGACAGAGAGGAAGTCCGAGCAGAACCAGCCATTGATGCTCGCACTTGCAGACTACAACCCGACCGTTCTCTCTCTCGTGACGCTCCCCAATTTGGTCCTTGCATGGGCGCTGCAGCAGAGGAACGAGAACGCCGTCCTCAATGAGGCCTTCACTCCAGACGGAGAATTGGAACTGACGCCCGAAGTCCTGGAGGCCTTCAAGCAATCGCTTTCGTCGAAGCAGATTACCCTCTCGTTTCTCTCAGGCGCTTGGTCTTCCGAGTTTGTGGACCTCCTTTACCGCTCCGGCGTCCCCGCGAACCTTCCCGCCACTACCAAGACGCTGCTGCTCGGCTCCGAGACCATTTACTCCCCATTTGCGCTCGAAAGCTTCGGGAGCACGCTCCTCTCAATCCTTCAGCGCGAGCGCGCCGAGCGTTCAAGTGGCGGCGGGGCTAGGGCACTCGTTGCCGCGAAGAGGCTCTACTTCGGCGTCGGGGGCTCGCTGGACGACTTCGTCGATAAGATGCGTGGGCTTGGAGCTTCCGTTAAGACGCTGTCCGAGGAAACACAGGGCGTACACCGCGGTGTTGTCGAGTGCTTGCTCTCATGACCACTGCCTGCAATCGTACAAGTGTGCCGTTGGGGTGGGCTCCCTCCGAGTTTGGACACCATCACCGATTTCCGGAGCTGGAGACAACGCCCCATCAGCCATTGGATTTTCGGTGTATAAAATGCGCCACGATGCCTTCCAGCTGGATATATGTTTTTTGGCGGCAAAGAGATGTTTCAGAACCTTCGCTGCCTGATGCTCCGCGGCGTCAGGCATTCGGCTGTAGATCCTACGTCTCGCCGTTTATCCGCGAGCAACGGCTTTTCTGGACCGCAGCGCCTGAATTCGGCCTTGCGCGAAGACGTCAAACCTTGATTCGGAGCAGCGGTGAAACATTCCTCTGTTGCACGGCTGGCTATGCGTCATGTGCTTCCTAAGTCGAGAACTTGCCGACGGTCTGCTGCCTACTGAGCTACCGTGGGGCGTTGCGTGACTTGCACGTCTGTTTCACTGCACAACAATTGGCATGCGCCCAACAATGCAATTGTTACATCGGCATCCGGTATGTTTTGAGCCGCATTGTTCCCGAGACCCGAGGCGTTTCCGTCCAAGGTGGTGGCGACCAGACGCGCAAGCACACCCAGGCGCAGCGTGAGGATGCCCAAGTTGCCTCGTCGCATTGCCGACTTGTCAAAAAAAATATCATATCACAATATGTCGTCGACAGCATCATGATTGCTTGTTACGCCGTGCGACTTGGGGTGAGCTCCGCCACTGTAACATTAGAGCTCTCGACGGCCACGAACCGCAACCTCGCCCATCATTGGGTGACTGCGGGATCTGGTGTGTTGCATGAGCACAATAGTCGCAGTTCCCATTCTCCAAAACAGGCCGATGATCTATCAATGAAGCACATTTCCGCCCCCATTGCAACAAACCAAATGGCTTGTGTCATTGAGCTGGCTTCCATCCAAGCTAGCGTCGCCCCCATCTGACAGTTCGGCACACCAGTCGTCCAGCGCCGTTTTTGGATATTTCCGAGGATGCTGGACGCTTTTCTAACCGCTTTGTCCACTGTCTGCATCTTGGACTTCAAGGACATCTTCGACGGGGATCACAAGCATGGCCAATCAGCTCTGGAACACAATCCCGCGAGACCCTGCATCTGGCGCACAACGAGATGAGGGACCCACAACCTTAACATTCTACGGGGTGTTGCAGTCGGCGATCTGTTGACGATGCGATCGCGGCAAACATGCTGAAGTCGGTCCCCCTCCGTCTCTCAGCAATTCGTCTCGACATCAAACAGCCCCCAACCCGTCGTTTTTTTGACAACGTCACACAGCATGCTGGCGCAGCCAGCCCTGTAGAGGCAAGGCCCTTGTGCCAAGCTGGTAAATGAATTGAGTGAGTTATTCAGGTGGGGAACTGTGTCGTCAAAGTTGCAATTTCCCACTTGACGCCGCACGCGCTAGTTGGACAAGGAATGGTAGCCGACAGCCTACCGATGGTGAGATCGAGGCTGGGGTCCATTTTAGAGGTGCCTCTTAGTTGAGACATGAAGGAGTTTGTTGCCGCACAAATCCGTGGGCGTTTGTGCCGAGGTCGCGCAGAGCCGTGGTGCGACTTTTCAGTAGCCGATTAGTTACCTCGAGAAATAGTTTACTATGTACCAGTTAGCTAGTTACTCGTTTTCTTGGTCAGGTAGCAATGGAAATGCGAGCCTAGATGAGGTCACCGCACCGGCGACATGGAAGTGAAGAAGAGCCGCCAAAAGAGGCAAGCGATTCTTCGAGTCCTTGCTTTGGACCCCGGTCGTTTCTCCTGTCTGACCCCTGGTTGCCCAGACTCGCCCGCCGCGCCGCTTTCCCATTGCAACATGGTCCGGGGTGGCTTCATTATTTCGGAGCCCCCTATTGGTGTAAGGACAGAAGGGTCACTTCCACCTCCATCGCGTCCTTGGGGCTATCGAAGTATTTTGCCCCCAGCGTGCCGCTGGCTGCCTTTTCTCGCTCTTCCTCCTTCCTTCTCGTTTCCCACTCTTAAACTCGGCCTCACGCCTGTCATCTTTCTGTCTTAATAATACTAGTAGTATCCCAACTTCCCGACGATCGTTCATCTCGCAGCTTTTCCATTCCATCACCGTCCGGCGCAACTCCCGCACTTACAACCCCACCACATTCCAATCTCCTCGGTAGGTTACCCCGGAAGCAACCAGGGGTTGCGCGTCTCCAGCATGGCCTCGAACTGGCCGCAGCCCCCGAGCCACCCGAAATGCGATTTCTCTCTCAACTCGAACATTGGCTGATCGCAAGTTGCGTCAATAGCATTCGCTTACAATTAATCTATCCCGAAATCAATTCACAATGAAGTTCTCCTTCGGTACTGTTCTCGCCCTCGCGGCCGCTGTGCTCGCCCAGCCCAAGTTCACCAACTCCAACTTCGAAGTCGAGGAGGGGGAGCCGTTTACCCTCACGTGGAACAATGCCGAAGGGCCCGTCACCATTACTCTCGTGCACGGCCCCGAGAAGAACCTGCAGCCAGTCACGGTCCTTACCAGTAAGCGAACCTCAATTGTATGCGTCATGAAATTGATCAGATACTGACAGGCCACAGCTTCGGGAAGCGACGGCTCGTTCACCTGGACCCCCTCTGACTTGCCCTCGGACACGTATGCCTTCGAGATTATCGACGACACCGGGGTGAAGAACTGGAGTCAGCGGTTCCAGTACACCGGCACTGGCTCCGTCACTAGCACCGAGGCGCCCACATCCACCGCTGAATCCAGCACCAGCACCGAGGCCTCCAGCACCACCACCAGCAGCTCCAGCAGCAGCGAGACCGAGTCCACCACCACCTCCGAGGAGGCTAGCAGCACCAGTAAGCTTTTGCCCTCTAAAACCCTCGTCAATCAATCGTACATGACCGCTAACCCTCCTCTTCCAGCCTTCACCACCTCCACAACCGAGGAGGCCGAGACCAGCACCCGCGCGACCACCAGCCCCACCGGCTCCCCCCCGGACCTGAACAACGGCCAGCGCTTTGCGTCGCCCCTGGGCTTCGTCCTCGTCACCGTGGCCGCCCTGGTCTTCTTCCACTAAGAGAAGCCAAAACCGCGCGGAGGTGTTTTCGGCGTTGGTCGGGCTTTTGTTGGTACCTGGGGGAAAGGGGATGGGGTAGGAAAAGGGGGGGGGGTTGAGGAAACTTAACCCCCCTTGGTCTATTTTGCGTTCGTCTTCTCGTACATACCTTGTTCTTTGTCGACGATGCTGTAATTGTGACGGGTGCGAAACTCGGGTCAGGATTGTCTCGGCGGAGGCCGGGGGAGAGGTTTTCAAGTGAGGTTCTGTTGTGGACGGGGACGGGAGTGCGCGCGCGCGGAGGGTTCGGGTACGTGGTTTGGGGGTGTGAGGAAACCGTGGGCCCGGCCGGCCCTTTGCATCGGTGCGAGTTTCTGGGTTTCTTTGTCACGCGCCTCTGTCTGTCTGGATATCTACGTTTTTATGCGTAAGTGTCTTCTTGGGCGGGCGCCGGCATCGCAATGGGGACCGCTTGCTATCCCGCCGGCCTCGGTTTGGTGTTTTAGTTAGGGCAGCGTAAACGGCGTGTGCACACGCTGAATATCTGTCTAGGAATTAATACTTGTCATTGCTGACTCAGTTCGCCCGCTTGGTGACTCCACATGTTCGCCACATCAACCGCGGGTTCGGTGTTCATCTCTTCTTTTGACGACTCCTCGTTCGTCGGCAGCCTGCAGGCTTATAAAGTGGGTTCGCTTCAAACAGGATGATCACCGCTGCTTGCTGCAGCAAACCTGCGTCAGGCAAGGTGTGGCAGCAGCGTGGGTCGGCGGGATCTTGCAGGGCCAATGTGTGGGGTACAGACAGGATAGGACAGGACAGGCTGTGCCAGTCAGTCAGTCAGCCAAATTGATTGCTTGCTTCTCCTGGTTCAGGGATGGTAGGGCTGCTGCTGCCGGTCGATCTTGTGCGACGGTAAAACATGGTTTCGGCGTTGTTGAAGAAACCGTTGGAGGATGGCGCGGTGGCGGGACTTGGCTGCTGTGAGGCTGGCTGAGGTCAAGGGGGTGGAATGGACGGTGATCTACACGGTACATGGTATTCTTGGGTGTTTGGGAAGAATATTTGTGTTGTCAGAGATGACGGGACGATGCGGGAATAATGGGATTGTGAGGGAGGGACTCAGTCGTAGCTGAAACTTTGGTGACCCCTTGTCTGGGTTGTTTTGGGGTATGTAAAAGACTAGCTAGCTAGCGAGATCTATAAAAGCACTTTTTACGCTTGCTAACCATGCAATAACTGACATCACACGTCTGTCTATCCCAACCATGCAGCATGCTTCAACATGATATCCTATTAATAACGCCCTTCGCTTCTCCGTCCAGTTGCCCAGAAGGTCACTCCCGACGGGGGAATCGTTCCGAGTTGAAGAGGGGGAATCTGTCAACACTCGGCGACACTTGGAATGGCTCGGGAGGTGGCCGTTGGTTTTTGAAGCCCCTCCGTTGTGACACCAATGTCAAGGTCACGGGTTGGGTTGTCTGCCCGTCGCGCGCCTATGCGTGTGTTGTCATGCTCAGAGTTCGCCTTCGTGGGCGACTCCTCCTCCGACACCAACACCACGACGGTGCAGATGTCGTCCTCCTTCCCGCCGTGCCATACCTCGTGCGGGTAGTACTTCTTCACCTCCTTGGCAAACGGGCCGTCCAGTTTCCTGTTAACGCTGGCAGACTTGGCCGCGCTAACGAGTTGCGTTGCTAGCATGCTCTGCAGCGTGGGGTGGGAGCTTGCCGGGGTATCCGTCTCGCCTAGCGAGGTGAATGGCCTTAGGTCCGCCGCCACCTGCACGCCCCGCTCAGTGCTCGTCCACGCGCCCGCCTGTGCCATCGTGCGGCTAACGATGCGCAGTACGTCCTGGTTGAAGAGGTTATCCCAGAGGCCGTCGCTCGCGAGCACAAGTACGTCCCCGTGGCGGAGACCAATGCGTGACACCTCGGCGTCGCGCGGCTGGTCCATGAGCTGCGCCCCGCCAAACTTGGCGGCCCGTAGGAGCATGCTCGGCGGTACCACGCTCAACTGATAGGGGGTGTTGAAGGCGTGCGTTTGGGGCTCGCTGCACGCGTGAACCCCGTTGAGCCGGAGCAGGATGAAGCCGCTGTCGCCCAAATTGGCTACCTCAAGGAGTCCCTCTGCTGTGAGCAGCCCGACGATGGCGGTGCTGCCGCCGGCTTTGATCGCCGGGTCGTGGCAAACCGCTTCGTACCCCTTCTGCATCAGCTGCCGTGCCGTTAATGGCTTCCCACTTCCTTCCGGTGTGGTTGTCGCCGCGACGGCCGAGGACGCCATGTAGTCGCAGAACGCGTGAGAAAAGTCGGCCGGGTCAACTCCACTATCCATCCACCCGCCCACACCATCTGCTACGCCGAGCGCGACTTCGCCAGGGACCGCCCCGAGACGGCTGACGAAGAAAGCATCCTGTCCTGACTCGGGCCGCGAGGCCTTCCCCCGGCCGGCTTTCGGTGGTTGCACGCGATTATAAGGGTTGAACTGGAAAACGTGGGTCGAGGGGTCGTAAGGGCGGCCCTTCGCAATGTATGATGCTGCGATGTTGTAGACGAACTTGGGGGTTTGGGAGGATGAGGACGTGGACGTGGAATATAGGGCACGTGGGCGCATCAACGAGAGCGGAAATCGAGGAACACTGGGGTTTTGTTGTTGTCGGAAAGCTTGTATAGCTGCCGTGGCCCTCGTTGGACCGGAAGTTGCTGATTGCTGGACAGCAGGTCCGGAGCTGAAGGAAGCCGAGACTTTCGTGTTAGCCATAACGCCCATACGGAACGTTTTCGGCGTGGGACGGCATGGAAGCGAGAGCACCCGAGCTACACCAACGGTGCGTGCCATTTCGCGATAGCAGGGAGGACAAAGGCTTTCCCTGCGCGGCCTTTCCGGGCCGGCAAAGAGTGAAGGCTTAAGGGAGCGACCTCCTCTTCCAGGGCATCACGGACTTGTTCGGCGGTCGCGATCGCGATAGGGGTTCTGGCGGGGACGAGACGGTCCAGGACATCGGGTCCGCCGTGAGATCCAAAGTTTGAATCGTGTTTGTTCGGCTTTGGCCAGCGCCGAAGGTCACGCCGCAATGGATAGGCAGGTAAGAGCCAATCCTTCCCCTTTGCTGCGTTATTATGTCACCTTGCCGATAGGGACTGCTGAGCTTGCTGCTGGCGAAATTTCGTGCAGCTGTGGGGATTTCACCGCTGTCTCCACCGTCTCGTCCGGTTTGGATCGGCTGCAACGGGCTGGCCTGTGCAGACCATTTTGGCCGATTGCCGAGACGCTATTCCGTTCTTATATTAGATTAGAGCCCCGGCCTTTCAATCCCAATGCTGGGGAACGCTGAACGCGGCACTGAAAGGGATGGGATGAATACACCAGATGACAGGTAATCCATCTCCCTATTGTGAAGGATGTTCAGAAGGGATTGGCTGGTGAAATTGCCAAATTCTCGCGCCACTCGGTCCTCGCGACGCGCACATATTGCGTCACTTTCTGTGAAATGCCTAAGGTAGTGAGTTACCGCGGCCAGAGAATCTTTGAGTGCATGCTACCTGTAATTATCACCCGGGCCGTTCAGTCCCTGAAACGCCGGGGTGCATCATGAAACCTCGCCTCGCCTTCGCTGTCCTGGCGCCACTGCCGTCTCATGAGTCGGATCGTGGCTCAGTTCAACGACAGGGATGTCCCGCGACACTTCGTGCTCCCATTTAGAGGGCGATGAAGGGCGATGAAGGTGCCACCCCTCTATGATCGACGCGCGGTTGCCCATTGTGCCCGAGAACGAGATGCGACGTCGAACCGGACTTCATCTTGTTTCCGGGCTTGGCATATCTCTTCTTTGTTCGCTTCTCTTCAGATAGTCCCGACTTTTTTCACCAATTCATCACAATAACCCATTCTGGACCAGTGCTGGCACATTTCACTTCTCTTCGCCCATTCCTAGCCTTCCTGGACCGGACGACATTATCACCCAATCGATCTACATATTTAAAGCCAACACCCACATCCCGGAGATTCCGGCACAACCACGACAGCATGGCCCCAACGGTCATCCACCTATTGGCTCGACAGTTTGAGAATTGCACATTCACTGAGGATGGCTATCTCGACGAGGATAGCTGCTACGTACCCTTTTGGAGTACAAGGGTGCGTCCTGGATATGGCGCATTGACGAAAGACATAGAAAATTAACTTCGTTGCAGACAGGGACCATCGTCAAGTGGTCGCTCTTCCTCGGCATAATAGTAATGACCGGGCTTTATCTTCTGGTTGGCTATGTGCACGCTCAGAAAAGGATAAAGAAGGGCCTGCCACCCCTAGGATATCACCGAGTAGGTATCACCTCGAGGTCCCGCTTGGTTCAGCTAAACTAACACCAACTTAGTTCCTTGTCTCCCGTGCAACACTCGCCCGAGTTGACCCTCGCTATCGGCCTGCCCAACCGGGAGCCGTCTACATACCCACTACCGCTGAGCGGAACTACTACGACATGCATGCCATGCCCCCACCTGTATACGATCCTAATGCGCCGCGACCTCCCATGTACGAACCTCCAGCGGGCTCGGCCAAGATCGAACCCAATCAACAGCAGCATGGTTCCCAACCAAGCCAATCACCAAGCGAAGAGCGCTTTGAGTATGGGCCGCCACCTGGCTCACCACCGGTGCCAGGTCCGTCACAAGAGACGTATGCGCCACCTCCAGGGCCTCCGCCGAGTACCGCCCGACCCTAGCGGATGAAAAACACCAATCCTTTCCGAGGCTGAAGGATAAGGGCTTCGTAGCCGAAACAGGGTCTCCCCAGGGTATAGAGGGGTGAAGTGGCTAATAGTAATCCCTTACCTAGGAGCAAGGGCGGCTTGGGATTCGAGGTAACGGCGTTCAGGTCGGGATGGTACCAATATCTGCATTGCTTTACATTTATAACACGGACGACCTAAGCACGGTTGAATAGTCCTAGAAAGGAATAGAATAACATCAACTCCTTAAATCAATCCGTAAAGCCCGGCCATAACACCACGCTAAAAGCAACCGAACCAGAAGTGCGCCGACAGCGCAGGTGTATCATCCAAATCATGCCAGCATAAACCCCCTTTCCCAGCCTTCCATTAATCGAGTTCCATCGCATCCGGATCGTCCTCTTCCAACACCGGTAACAACTCGGTATCCATGGGCACCCCTCCTCCCACCGACGACGACGACGACGGTGACGATGCCATCACTTCCGGCACCATCACGCCCGGAGCATCCCTCTGCTCCCTCTCCACCCGCTGCTTTTCCCGCGCCCGCTCACGGGCCTCAATAATAGCTTTGCGGACGCTGTCCTGCTCCTCGGGCACCGTGAGGGAGCTCGGCACGCGATACAGCACCAGCTCCTTGCCACCGCCGCCGCCGCCGCCGCCGGGCCGCGGGTCCAGCACGTGGCTCGGGATGCGGCTGCTACGCAGATGCTTCTCGATGTCCGGGAGGAAGACCAGCTTGCTCTCGTGGTCGCTGTCGTTGTCCGAGGAGGAGAGCTCGTCGTCAAGGTTGTAGATGTACACTTTGTGTTTGGTGTCGTCGAGCTGCATCTGGGTGTCATCGGCGGCGGGGGGTTTTCGGGAGTGGTGTTTCTTGGGGCTGGCGGTGGTGGGTTGTTGTGAGGACTGGGAAATGGGGTTCTCGACTGGGACGTAGAGCTTTTGGCCGGATTGTTCTGGCGCCGTGTTAACTGGCTGGTGGGGTTGAGGTGGGATAGATGGGGGTCGCTGTGATAGGACGGGCCGCAGCATACCGAGATTCAACAAACTCAGCCGTTTGGAAAGGCGCTCATTGTTCTCGGGGGCCGTTTCGGCCTTGCGTTTGCGCGGGGGATGCAATGGTAATTGTTGCGCTGAGAAAGGACCTTTTTTGAGGTGTTGGTGGTGGAATTGGTCAATCCCGACTCCGTCCATCTTCAAGGGTCCTCTTCCTGCAGGGTTCACTATCGCCAGTAGCTCGACCTTTTTTCCCTCTCTTTGCCACTCCTCGCCGTCTACTGTCTCGAGCCCAATTGCTCGCACTACCGGGCCGCCAGCTGCAAGAGGGCTAAAAACACTATGGATCTTGTCCAATCAACTCAGAATCTGAATATTGGGTCGAGATAACGGAACGGCCGATATCGCAAGAGGAGAAGGGCGCGATGTTGGGTGCGTTGCGCTTAGCCCACGGGGTCGTGGTTGAGCCGGTCTAGAAGCTTGGGTGGCACCGGCTGCTATCGGCCGCCTTTTGAGACTTTGAGTCATGGCTCGCGAAGCTTCCACCACAAAACCCGCCCGCCCCGCAGTCTTGTTCTATAATCGAGAACTTTCGAGCAGCCACCACCTTCCCAAACCACAACACTGTGCGCCATTACTCCGCGTTAATCAACCTGCATTCCCGGATCGTGTCAGCATACAGAAACGGCCATCGATTTTATTCTCAATCCTCAACGCTGCCGACCATGGCCGAAGTCGAGTGGACAGGGCCCCGCGTCCGCAAGACGTTCTTGGATTATTTTGCAGAGAGGGGCCATTCCATCGGTAAGACGCTATAGCAACACCACCAGCACAGGATTTGCATCTTTTTGTACGCACGATAGTTCGTGCTGAAACACAGAATGCCTGCTTTTGGAACTTTACCATCTCACCATCCTTGCGAAAATATGCGCCTTGCCAAAAGCATACACGCCTTCGAACCTCGCTGACCTGACTGCCCCGCAGTACCCTCGTCCTCGGTCGTTCCTCACAATGACCCCACCTTGCTCTTTACGAATGCGGGCATGAACCAGTTCAAGCCCGTCTTTCTTGGGACAATTGGCAAGACTGAGCCCCTGGCCCAGATAAAGCGCGCGGTAGACACACAAAAGGTGAATTGCACGCTCAGACTTTTGTCCAGTTTGGGATCTTGGGCTAACTCAGACAGTGCATTCGTGCAGGCGGCAAACACAATGATCTCGACGATGTCGGCAAGGACAGCTACCACCATGTCAGTGCTTCCGCCCCATTGCCCCTTTCGCGGCCTCACTGGCTAATACACGGTAGACATTCTTTGAGATGTTGGGGAACTGGTCCTTTGGCGATTACTTCAAGAAGGAGGCTATCCAGTGGTCTTGGGAGCTCCTGACAAAGGTCTATGGACTGGACCCGAACCGACTCTACGTCACGTACTTCGAGGGTAATCCTGACATGAACCTCGAGCCGGATCTCGAGGCTAAGCAACTGTGGCTCGACGTCGGCGTTCCCGAGGACCATATTCTACCTGGCGACATGAAAGACAACTTCTGGGAGATGGGCGACCAAGGGCCATGCGGCCCTTGCAGCGAGGTTCACTACGACAAGGTCGGTGGGCGGAACGCTGCGCACCTTGTTAACCAAGATGACCCTCTCGTGGTAGAAGTGTGGAACAATGTTTTCATGCAGTTCGACCGCCAGAAGGATAAGTCACTTATGCCCCTACCAGCGAAGCACATTGATACCGGCATGGGTTTCGAGCGCCTAGTATCTGCTCTCCAGAACAAGACTTCCAACTACGCCACGGATATCTTCACCCCGCTTTTCGCCAGGATACAGGAGGTCACTGGCGCTCGGTCATACACGGACAAGTACGGGAAAGACGACGTTGACGGCATCGATACTGCCTACCGTGTCGCCGCCGACCATATCCGCCTTCTTTCGTTCGCCATCGCCGACGGTGCTGCACCCAACAATATCGGACGCGGCTACGTTGTTAGACGTGTTCTCCGGAGAGGTGTACGGTACGCGCGGAAGTATTTTCAGGCCGAGATCGGCTCGTTTTTTTCGAGCATTCTGCCGGCGCTAGTCGATCAGATGGGCGAGCAGTTCCCCGAGCTTAAGAAGAAGCAGGAGGACATCAAGGAGATTCTGGACGAGGAAGAGGTGGCCTTTGCGGTCACGTTGGATCGTGGCGAGAAGCAGTTCGAGAAATATGCCGCCTTAGCGGTGAAGTCCGGGGAAAATAAGCTCTCGGGCGCGGATGTGTGGCGTCTCTACGACACTTTTGGGTTCCCCGAGGATCTCACAAAGCTGATGGCTGAGGAGCGTGGGCTCACCATCGATGAAGCCGAAGTCGAAGTTGCTCGGGAAAAGGCGAGGGAAGCGAGCAAAGCCGTGAAGGAGGCCGTCCAAACCTTCCCCAAGCTGAACGTGCACCAAATTGCCGAGCTGGAGAACACCGTCAATCTTCCCCGGCCAGATTCCGAGGCCAAGTACAAGAAGGGTGACATCAAAGGCAAGGTACAGCTTGTCTTCACCGGCTCCGAGTTCCGCAAAACCAGCAAAGAGCTCCCGCCTAAAACTCCCCTCGGCTTGTTGCTCGATAAGACAAACTTCTACGCCGAGTCCGGCGGCCAGGTTGCGGATACCGGCAGGATTCTTATCGACGGCGTCGCCGAATTCAAGGTGCTCGACGTGCAAGAGTTCGGCGGTTACATCGTGCACAACGGCTACCTCGAGTACGGCGAGCTCACTGCCGGTGACGAGGTGATCTGTGAGTATGACGAGCTGCGGCGCCAGCCTATTCGGAACAACCACACCGGAACACACGTTCTTAACCACGCGCTGCGGGAGGTGCTTGGCGAGGAGGTCAACCAAAAGGGATCGCTGGTAGACCAGGACAAACTGCGGTTTGACTTTAGCCACAAGAGCCAGGTCAGTTTGGAAGAGATCAAGAAAATCGAGGCTATGTCAAATGAGGACATTCAGAGGGATTTCAAAACCTACGCCAAGGATGTTGACCTGAGCCTGGCGCGCGAAATTGAGGGTGTCCGCGCTGTCTTCGGCGAGACATACCCTGACCCGGTGCGCGTTGTATCGGTCGGCGTCGACGTTGATGAGCTGCTCAAGAACCCAAAGAACCCCGAGTGGCGCAAGGTCAGCGTTGAGTTCTGCGGCGGCACCCACGTCGACTCGACGGGTGCCATCAAGGATCTCATCATCGTTGAAGAGAGCGGTATCGCCAAGGGCATCCGACGAATCGTCGCCTACACAGGTGACGGCGCCCACCAGGCGCAGCGCGACGCGAAGACTTTTAGCGAGAAGCTTGAACACATCCAGGCGCTCGAGTTCGGCCCGCAAAAGGCGGCCGATATCAAGGCGGCGGCCGTCGAGCTTGACGCGCTTACCATCTCGGCGCTAACCAAGGAGGATCTGCGGCAGCGGTTCGCCAAGATCCAGAAAGAGGTCGTCGACGAGCAGAAGAAGCGCCAGAAGGCCGAGAGCAAGACGGCGCTCGACACGGTCCAGGACCACTTCAAGAAGGAGGAGAACAAGGAGGCCAAGTTCTTCGTTGGTCACCTCCCCATCTCGGCTAACTCCAAGGCCCTCGCCGATGTCCAGACGTACTACAAGTCCAAGGACAAGGACCAAAGACCGTCTATGTGTTTGCCGGCAGCAAAGATGATGCGGTCATGCCATGGTGTCTATGGTTGGCACAGTAAGTCACTACTCTCGAGTCTTAGGTCTACGAAAGAATGCCTCGCTAACATGGCTCGCAAGGATCTCTCCTCTAAAGGGTGTCACGGCCGAGCAGTGGACTGCCGCCGTCACGGAGGTCATTGGCGGCAAGACGGGCGGCAAGGAGCCCAGCCGGCAGGGCGCCGGTGCCGAGCCGGCCAAGCTTGACGAGGCCGTCGCTCGGGCAGAGCAATGGCTCGCGGACAAGATGAAGGAGCTCAACATTTGAGTCGAGGTTATGAGATATTGGGGTAATGTGATAGTAATGAGTTTGCTATCGTGATTTCAAGCCTATTATATATGTCGGAAGAGGGCGAGATATCCTAGGTTTAGACGGGTGAATGAATCAAAAAGATTGGAGCAGTCCTAGTTCCTAGGGTCGTCGGAATTCCTGTCAAAATAGCAGGTCGGGTTTAGACAAAAATGTTCGGGACAAGTTCAGGTGAATGTTTGCCCGACAATCTGGCGGGCCAGCAAGGGTTGTATTGTTACAGGACCGCGAAGCTCTCTGTATGTACATTACCACGGTTTGTTTTTATACAGTGAACATCACACTGGCATTCTTATACCAAGTCAGGAGCGGGTTCTCGCCGCTCTGCGTCTCGGTCTCCTCGAGGTACGCCCACCTGCGCATGAACTCCTCGTGGGTGAGCACGCGGGTCAGCTTGCCCGTGATGGCCTGGTAGGTGGCCTCGGCGGTGGAAAAGTTGGTGGGGAACATGATGTCGAAGTAACCCTGGTGCACCTGCCCGTGTGTGTCAGTGCCTGTTTCCTACCTGGTCCCAGGTGCCTTCCCTCACGTATACTAGACAGAGTACGAGAGGGAGTGGAATGCTTACCATTGGCGTGGAGACGGGTATGAGGCCGTCGCTGGAACCGTGTTTGCACAATTGGCGCGTTCAACTCCTTGATTGCCCCCGGCAGTGAGTGGAAATCGCTCGTCAGCAGGCGGTGGGCGGGGAAGTACTCGCCCTAGCACGTCAAAGAACTGCATTAGCCGCGTGGGTATGTACTCGGGCGGGCTGAGGTTGGCCGCCAGCGGTTTCTGCGCCGCGAGCCACCGGCCCATGCGCGTGGATGGGTAGGGCACCTTGTACCGCCCCCCCGTGGCCGCGTCCCGGACGCGGACGTACCGGGCAGCGACGGGATCCAGATGGGGGGTGTAGAACTCGTAGAAGTCGCCGTTTTCGTCAATCAGAACCATGCCTTGGAGCGGCTTCTGGGTTTCCATGTCGTAGCGGAGGATGTCGTGGGCGAAGTTGTCGAAGACTTCGAAGGCGAGGAAGAAGCAGGGTGAGGGGACCGGGTTGGTCCAGTCGAAGATGGACTGGTTGATGATTTCCACCTTGTCGGCGTGGCCCCGGGCGGCAAAGGACTGCTTCAACTGGGAGTTTTGGATGGTGGCGAGCTGGGTACTGATCTCGATGATCTTGTATTTTGTGCGGTCGTACACGGCGGGGTCGACGTCGCGAATGTGGTCGAGGATGTTGAGCATGAGGGTACCACGGCCGGCACCCATCTCGTATATGATTAGGTCATGGTAGGGGTAGGTGGTGAGCTTGTAGTTGGCGATGAGGTAGCGTGCGATTGCCTCTCCGTAATAGGGGCGGAACAGCTCGGTGGGTGTGTACCACAGCTGGCGGGTGTCGCTTGGAGACACGGCATCCATGGCATTCTCAAACTCGACATAGCGGCGGGACAAGAGTGAGTGGAAGTCAAGCTCATCGTATAACGAAGGAAAGTCGAAAGGTTCTCCTGGTGTGAAGATGACGACTTGCTTCGAGAAGTAGCCGTAGGTTGGGTTGTATAGACTGTCTAGACACGGCAGAAGATGTGTGTCAGCGCTTCCCATCCTATCTAATCAATTGGGATATTTAGTCTATTGCCCTCAAACTAACCTTCTATGAAGTCCCTCATCAACATTTTGACCCTACGCGGCCTCTCGTTGCGCCCGCGTAGGTCCAAGGCAGTCACCATGGGATATCTCTGAAACTCATCCGACATGTCATGTTGAAACATATCAGTCCGCTGCTGCCAGTTTGTTTCGGCCTGGGGCGTTCCTGCGCCCGTCCCGCCACGCCCACGACTCGCATAGGAACGTCGTTGGTGGTGGTGGTGGTGGTGGTGTGGTTGCTGCGGGTACCGGAGCTGCTGCCCCTGAAGTCGTTGTCGGCGCACATCTCGGAGTGTTGTTGTAAACGTTGCCAAGTTCCGTCGTGACTGACAAGCCGGATGGCGCCGAAACAGTTGTCGAAACAACTGGGTGACTATGGGAGAGTCCATGTTCCCAAGGAAGGGGGGTTTCGTTGGCGGGGACCTCGAATGACTCCAGACAAGATTTGAGAAGCTGTTAGCGTTCGCCGCGTCAATTGGGGGGTCGACTTTTTTGAGGTGGCCCGAGCTCCCTAGCTGGATTGTAGCACGCGAGCTCGCTGGCATGGCGGGGTCCAGCCCCATAACCCTGAAGAACTGAACCCTCTTTAGCAAGGTCCTGTGTAGCACCACGAAGGCTCGCCTGTGTTAGGGCCCAGGTGTATGATGACATCAAAAGCCCAATCCAAGATCGCCTTGAATTCTCATAGGACATAAGGTATTTCTCAGCCCCACTGATATCTGTGTTCATATTTTTGATCATTTTCGACATTTTGAGTCTCACATACATCTTCTCATCCAGACGGTCTTGGTATTTTTTTTGGTTCAACGATAACGAGGTGTCTAGGAACCACTTGCCTGGATTAGCGGGGGACAAAAAATCATGGACATGAGATCAGAATGTCTCTGAGCGACCACCCTCGAGTCTACGGCACTGCCGCTCTGACGGTGGCCTTTGTTGCCGGTGTATTCATAACCCTGGGGTTCAAGGATCTCTATCCAGAACTAGAGACACGATATGAGCGACAAAAGAGGAAGTCAAGGAGGGGCAGCATTTTATTCGGGCCAGTCAATTTAGAGGATCGTGAGGGGTCCTTTGGGGGGAACTACGATCGTGGCAATGGCATCGTGAATGGCATCGAGGGCACCATTGGCAACACGCCCCTCATCAAACTCCGCAGCCTCTCGGAAGCCACCGGCTGCATCATCCTCGCCAAAGCCGAGTTCCTCAACGGCGCCGGCGGCAGCCCCAAGGACCGAGTGGCCCTGAACATGATCCAAGTCGCCGAGGAACAAGGCCTCCTCTCCCCCGGCCGCGGCGACACCATCTACGAGGGCACCGTCGGCAGTACCGGCATCTCCCTGGCCGTGCTGGCCCGCGCCCGCGGCTACAACGCCCACATCTGCATGCCCGACGACATGGCCATCGAAAAGTCCGACCTGCTTCACCACCTCGGCGCAACCGTCGAACGGGTGCCCGTCGCGCCCATCACCGACCCCGGCCACTTCGTCAACCTGGCCCGCACCCGGGCCAAGGAACACACCGCGGCCTCCGACACACCCTCGCGGGGCTTCTTCGCGGACCAGTTCGAGTCGCTCGCCAACTACACGGCACACATGAAGACCACGGGCCCGGAGATCTACGCGCAGACCGAGGGGCGGCTGGACGCGTTCGTGGCGGGGGCCGGCACGGGGGGCACGATCGCGGGGGTGGCCAAGCACCTCAAGGAGGAGCGGGGGCTGGCGGGGCTGCGGGTGGTGCTGGCGGACCCGCAGGGCAGCGGGCTGTACAACAAGGTGCGGCACGGGGTCATGTACTCGCCGACGGAGCGCGAGGGCACGCGGCGCCGGACGCAGGTCGACACCATGGTGGAGGGCATCGGCATCAACCGCGTGACGGAGAACTTTGAGGCCGGCCGTGGGTTGGTGGATGACGCCGTCAAGGTCACGGATGAGCAGGCCTGCCGCATGGCGCGCTGGTTGGTGGAGCACGATGGTGTGTTTGTGGGCAGCAGCAGCGCGGTGAACTGCGTTGCTGCTGTGGTGACGGCGCTCAAGATGCCCAAGAATAGCCGGGTGGTGACGATCCTGTGCGATTCTGGGTCGAGGCATCTGAGCAAGTTCTGGAAGCACATCGCGGCGATGGGACTGGAGGATGAGGCGCGGGAGCAGGACGAGGACTTGCTTGCTGTGCTGGGACTTCAGGATCTCCGGAGGTAACGACCTAGGCAAGTAAGTGGTACTAGTCAAAGGTAGCTCGGACTTCGGTTGTACATACAATTAGATTGATACCCAGAGTGGCCAATATGTTTGCGGTGTTTGACGGAACTGGTATTGGGGCGCCTTTTTTGTTCTTGCACCGCGTGGTGTCTTGTCATATATGGGTTACAGAACTCTTGTCCTTCGCTGGCGATCATCTAACCCCTATATGTAACAAAAAGAAGCATACGCGCTTTCCAAGATCGGGCATCATTAAGCCGCCGTTGGTATTGTGAAGAGCCACCGCAAAAATGTCCTTTCCTTTGACTCCTTAAGCACCTGGATATTCCGTTACCTGGTCACACCTAACGAGAACCGGACCAGAGTAGAGTGACTGGTTGAGAAGCACCTCTCTACATTTACAGGACCAACCCTTCTCGGCGGCCACCCCCGATGGCCCCGTCCCGAAACTCACCAATATAGCCCTCGAAAAGCAAAAACTCCCCGCCGTGACTCCCGAAAAGGCTGAACTCAGCTGTGAAATGCGCCCCCAAGTCAGGAGGACTCTCTCAAAGGAGATGAAAGATAATAAGGACCCAAAAAGACCAAAAAAAAAGGAAATGAGCGAGCCGGGTTGACCCCGAGGCACGGCGCATCTACTAAGAAAACTAGATTCTCAATGTCAGCACGGGAGGCATAACTCAGACACCATACATGGGGAGAACTCACCTTCCAGCGGTGGCCGCAGACCGTGCACTCGCAAAAGGTCGTCATCGGTTCATCGGCGGAACGGGTCTGAGCTTGGCTGTACGAGACCTTCTTTTGCTTGCACTTGCCGCACTGCAGCGAATCACTGATAGACCGCTGGGCCATGGGCACCTGTGCCTTGAGCATGTTCTCGCGCTCGAGGGCGGCGTCCCGCTCGCGCTGGGCGTCCGAAGCGAGCTCCTCGTCCGTCATGACGGCGAACTTTTCTGGCGCGATGTCGCCCCGAAGCACGCGGCGGCCCAGCTCGGGATTGTCCTTGCGCTTGAGGCTCGTCATGAGCCCGCGGATTTTGGCGCGGTACTCGTTGGTGTCCCCGTACGCGGCGTAAGCGGCCGCCTCCACCTCCATGGTACGCTGCAGCACCTCCTCGATCGACTCGGTCGCGCGGTATGCCAGGCCGTTGTACAGCACGCCGATACTACCGTCGCGCGTTTTGTTGCCCGTCCGCGAGATATCCACCTTGTCGACTCGGAAGTGGCGCTTCTCGGGGTCGCCTTCGTACGGGGTGCTGTAGGAGGTCGACGGCGGCGCGGGCGAGTCCTTGGGGGTGGGTGATGTGGGTGACTTGCTCTGCTCTGACTTGCTCTGCTCTAACTTGCTCTGCTCCAGCTTGCGCTTCTTGGACTCTTTGGCGGCATCCACGTTCTTTCGCCATTTCGAAACGATCTCGCTGGCTAGCCGGGCAATCTCTTTGTTTGCGTTGTGTCGCAGCTTGCCTACTGCGACGCCGGCTTTTGTGGACTGTAGGTCATTATCGTGAGCATCCCTCACCAAAAAAGCTGGAAGCTCGGGTTTGGGCAGACTTACACGAAGCTGCTCCTCGGTCGGCGCTTTGGCATTCTTCAATTCCTCCAGCAACGCGATCACGACAGACGGAGGTTCGGCGGCGGCGGCGGCCTTATTCAACGTCTTGACCCTCTTGCTCAGTACTTGGTCATCCATTTTGGATTTTGGATATAGGATCTGCTATTTTTGGGGGGTGGTTTCCGTTCCCGGATTCGGCGGTAGCGGTTCAAAGCGAACGGCGGCAACTCGAAGAACGGCTCGCTGTCGGTGTGTCTGGAGGGCCGAGTTACAAGACTAGATGGTCGGATTTAGCGTAACGCGACTTCGGGCAGAAAATGTCGGGATGCGTTAGTTAGATGCGATAAGTGTGGTGTCGGTTGAAAGTTGAAGGTGTTGCTAAGGCTAGAAAAGTGGACGACGTGGAATGCAAAGCAACTTTCCCGAATTGGCGAACAAAAAGATCCCTGTTTTGGCGATTGTTCTCGCGTGCCCCACCTCCACCGGAGCCTCAGCTTGCCTTCCCTAGTTGTGGGGCGCTTTTTTGTCCTCGGTTCATCCGCTCGGCAGGGAAGACGTCAACACTTGGCTCCAGGGCTCACTCACCACTTGAATCGGACTTTGTGGCCACAAATTTACGACCTACCGATAGCATTGAAGAACCGCCGACTCGGTCACGGCAATCGAAGCAGCACTTAGGAGCTCGAAAATAATATTTATATATTAGGCTCGAATACATAATCTACATAGAGCCCCTTCCACCGTTCTTAGCGCGCCGTCCTCTTCAAAGGTTTCAGATTCTGGTGGTAAGTTAGCTCTATTGGGCGTGGCTCCCGGTGTTTGTCGCTACCCTGGGAGCATGGTATGGGTATGAGTAGCTACTTGTTCGCGATGAATAAAAACTGTAGTCATCTTCTAAAAGGTGACGAAGGCAACCCGTTGTTTTATCAGAACTCATCAACTCAAAGTATACCATGGGACAAGGGACAAGTTAAGTTTAGAAGCAGAGACATGATTTCAGCATCTTCACATCATGTAATAAGTGTATGAGAGAGTTGGTTTTAAATTTACATTCAAGTTCAAATTCATTTTTGTCATCAATCATTAAGTCTAAGTCTATCATCCAATTCCTTGCCAACGCCATGTCCAAACCAACCAAATCCATCATATAATATGTTTAACGCTTTAGATGTGATCCTTATGCCTTTATACTTTTTAAACCAGGTCTTCACTTTTAATGGCTTTGCCACCCACGGTAATCCCCTCCGTTAGGCCGCAACACCAATCTCCACATCTTCCAGTCCTCCGGGTCCGGAGTCGAGTAATCACGAGTAAACTCGAAACGGCTGAGCAAAACGCACAGCAAGACCTTCATCTCAATCTCGGCAAACTTGCGGCCGAGGCAGCCACGTGGACCTTGCAAGAAGGTCATGAAAGCGTTGGGGGTGGCCGTGGCCTGCGGGTAGTTCCAGCGATCCGGGTCGAACGAGTCAGCGTCGTCACCCCAGAACCATTCCATGCGGTTGATGGCGTTGGCAAGCATGTACACCACGGTGCCGGCGGGCACCTTGTAGCCCTCGATGACGTCGTCCCGGAGCGACTCGCGCACCGTCATGGGGATGGGCGGGATGTAGCGCAGCGACTCGCGGCACACGTTGTCTAGGTAGGGGAGGCAGTCCGGGTCGTCCAGCTCCATTGTCGGGTCGTGGGACCAGCGGCTGTTGAAGAGGAAGGGCATGTGATACCGGATCTCGTCCCGCAGCCGTTCCTGCACTTCCGGGTGGATGGAGAGAAGGTGGATGGTCCAGGCGGTGCCCGTGGCCGTGGTGTCGTGGCCGGCGGCGAGGAAGGTCATGACTTGGTCGCGCATGGCTATGAATGAGAGACCGGCTTCACCCTTGTCCTTGAGCTTGAGGTTCTCCTGGGCGATAAGGGCGAGAACGTCCTTGGCGTAGGGGTTCTGCTCGGCGTCTTCGAGCTTCTCGTTGAGGATGGTGGTCGCCTCGTGGACAATGATGCTGCGGGCCAGCTCCATATCGCGGTTCATCTGGGCCGGGATGTGCTTCGAGCTGGGGAAAAAGGCCTGGATGCCGTGCAGGACCCGGGAAGCCAAATCGAAGTTGAACACCAACCTGTACGCGTGGCGGATGTCAAGGGTGGGATCGTCAAGCGAGTTGATATCGTAGCCGAAGCCCGCCTCGCCGATGATGTCGAGAGTGCACCGGTTGAACCATTCCAGGACTTCGAAACTGGTTGAAGTCTGATGGGAAGCGCGCATCTCGCTCAACTGGAGGTCAACCATTTGAAAAGCCTTATCCCAGAAGATGGAAACGAAGGTGCGGATAGCGGTGATGGAAAATCCGGGGTTGAGTGCCTTGCGCTGAGAGGTGTGGTGGTCGCCTTCGGCCAGGAGAACACCGTCTCCGAGGATACGTTGCATCCAGAGCTTGGCACGAAGGGGCTTGGGGTAGTTATAGGGGTTCTTAACTGTCAAGTGACGGATGGACATGTCGTCGGCGACCGACAGTCTCTCGCAGCCGAAGGGGAAGAAGTAACGGATGATGCCGCCGTGTTCTCTGTGCCAGCGACGTTGCGGCAGACCACACTCCTCGAATATAATGGGAACGAGCTGGCCCCAGAGAGGGAAGCCCCCAACGGTTGGAACATGGCGCAACTGGGAGAAGTAGACAGGGAAGAGCCAACCCCTATAGACAACCCAGTAGGCCGCGACAATCAAAACAGCTAGTCCTGGTGTCGCTGTGTAGAGGGGGAAGTCCATCTTCTTGGTGCAGTAGAAGGAGGTTGCCACGGCAAACGCTTAGACGGGGACCGGGGTGTTGATGGTGATCTTGGGCATGTTGTAGTTGCCGCCGAGAACACAAGGGAGTGAATAGTATCCGCCCATGGTGATTTATAGTAAGAAACAATGAAGTTTTTTGGCGTTGGCCGAGTCAAGAAACCGTCCTAGAGAGGAAGAGGTGAAATTGGCTGGTGTTGGGTGGTGTTCCTGAGGGGTGATGTTTTTGACTGAAGTTTTTGAGTGGAAAGAAACGGGAGAAAGGGGGGGAGGGTAGAGTATTTAAACAACGAAGCTCGGGGGACCGTGCCCTTTCTGATTGTGCAGCCACCCAAGGCATACACTTATCTATCTCACACATAGGCGATCCCCTCATGGGCGTAGACCGGCGACGACGCTCAGACCCTTGAAG